AAGTTCTTCAGTGCGTATTATTCTAAACCAGTGCAATTGTGTTCACGTCTCCACGACCTACTTCCCTGAGATCCATCTTAATATTATCTACCCACCTATATCTAAGCCCCTTTGCAATGAATTCTGTACGATTTAACGGAAATTAACTTTGCTGTGTGTCGCTCCCCGCAGGCCCCTCAACCGGCGGACTCATGGAGCGGTGTAAGAAACGCGACCGTCGAGGGACCTTCTTGTCCACAGATTAACCCTATTAGCCAAACATATTTCGGTGAAGAAGATTGTCTGTTCATTAACGTGTTCTCGCCAAAGGTAATAGAACATAAACATCTCTTTAAAAGCCGCATAAACTTCACACCTCTTGTCCTATGATTTACGTAGGTACTTCCTTTTATCTGGAGGCACGAATACATTATCTGTACCAGAAGAAAAATATATATCAAAAGGCATAACAACTTTATATGCATTATATACTTTATGAACTTTATATGTTCCCTAACTTTACACTAACGTGTTACAAAAAATATATTAAAATCAAGACGTGACTCAACTGGATTACATGAAATATTTTTCTGCTTAAAAAATACAACAGCCGAACTTTACTCAGTACTTGTAGATGTCACTGTGGTTTAGAAGTAACCAACTATTTCAGAAAAAGAGGAGAGATATTTCGATTTCCAAACGTTCTTAATTTGTAATCAGAAGAAGATTGATAGTTTTTAACTATTTTAGCAAAATTATGTTTTAATAGACAGTTCCTTTTAAATGTGAGAATAAATTAAACCCCTCAAGATGATTTTTAAGCACTGGACTTTTATGATCGTGTAGCTGAAAATCATACGTAACAGAAAAATAACATGTAGGCCAAATACCGTGTATTTAATTTTTATACAAAGCTTTCCACTACTTTCGAGACCTCTGTTAGAATGATACAATTTTATTTTGTGATCGTACGGCTGTAGATTCTCTCCGAAACGGACACAGCTTCAACAGCTGTCATGGTGTGGATACACGGCGGAGGTTACATTTTGGGCTCAGGTGACAGGACTGTCTATGGTCCTGATTTCCTAGTAGATGAACAAGTGGTAGTTGTTACCTTCAACTACCGTCTAGGAGTATTGGGTAAGTACATTAATCTATGATTCCAGGCCTGCTATAGGTCATGGTATATGATGACGTCTTACACGCGCCCACAGGCTATGAATTCCTCATTAATGAAGCTAATGGCAAAATCTTTAACTACGCAAGTTCTGTTACTATTAGGCAGCATGTAGAGGTACTTTTAATACAAGCGGTTTCAACGTTTTGTTGAAATAAAAGGGTAGGGGAAGGAACACATGCGGAAGGAGGGAAAGCGATAAAGAAAAGGAAGAAAGGCGGCGAAGGATTAAGGTATGAAAGAAATCTCTCCCCGCTGAATTTTTAATTCAGGGGCGGAGCGATTACGTCATTCGTGTTGGCCCGACTAACTCTCTGGAAAAAAAGTACTCTGCCTTAATGGCTTACTTTCGTGGTTCAGTGGATCACAGCAGAATCGATCAGATGAAGTGCGTCTTTAGCCAGCTAGTCTCAAACCTGGACCAGCTCGACTAGGAGTTCAACAAATTATGTATTTTTTCCCTCCATTCAACTGACAGAAGCAGAACTTCTGGAACGTTGATGTTTTAAAATCTATCCGACCTACAAGTCCATAAGAACAATTTAACACACTGTATTTCACCATTATCCGAAGCATGCAAACCACACTTCCTTCCTCCATCTTCATTAATGTCCTTTTCCCTCAGGATTTCTGAGTCTGCAGAATAAGGAAGTTCCAGGGAACAATGGAATGAAGGACCAAGTCTTGGCTCTGAAATGGGTGAGAAACAATATAGTCAAGTTCGGAGGAGACCCTGATAACATCACCATTTTCGGGGAGAGCGCTGGGGCCTCCAGCGTCCACTATCACTTGTTATCACCAATGTCAAGCAGTGAGTACTGATAGCCTTTCAAATGTCATGTCAACCATGCGCGTACCCAGACAGCGGAAGGATGTAAAAGAAACGCACATACGCGTGACCAAAAAAAATGTGTACACTTTGAAATACGGAATATCAACCTACTTGCCGATCCCCGTGTTGTGTATGCGGGCGGTGGTCATTTTAAACACCAACACGAGATTCGCTAATCTACCAAGTGCGAATGCTAACGTATGTAATTGTTTAGTTTATTAAAATGTCTTTATTTCATTCATTGAATGTGGGCATACACCTTTTTGAGGAATTCTGTATTAGCGCCACAGCAAAGGTTCAATTTACTATACAATGAGTTTTGATTTCTCGCCGTTTAACCCATCATTCCAGGCGAATTCTGCGATATTACTTCAAACTTACCACGCCCTTCCCAATCCAACATTGGGATCATCCTGTCATTCGATACGACATAGCTTAAGTAGTTTAGAAATCATCTTTAAATAAACCGAGGAACAGACTACATGTCACATCAAATGTCTTAGGATTGTTTCATCGCGCCATATCTGAAAGCGGATCTGCATTGAATCCCTGGGCTTACCAAACGCCAGATGCCAGCGTCAAGTTGGCCTTTCTGCTCGGGGAAGAATTTGGTGTAAAAACGACTGATCCCCTGCAGGTGCTGCAAGTGCTGAGGGCAGCCGAACCTGAACGGCTCGTGGTTTTTATATTTACAGCTCTATTACTGGTACGCTGCCATTTCTTTATAAAGTTATTACTTTGTCATCAGCGTGAATTTAAACTATGTGAAGATCGCCACAGCGGCATATTTTAACCATCCATGTATTCTTCTGGATACATAAAACAAATTATAGACAGTAGCAAACATCTAACATTATAAGATTAAGTAGGACTTCAGGTTTTCACGACGGCAAGTATAAAGATGGTCGTCTTCTGGGTTGTGGCGCCGTATAATCTGGTAGAATTTTACCGTCGTTTCAGAGTTACTTGCTGCCTCCATCATCAAACTAATAATTAATTTTATTATTACTTACTAACTAGATGGCTTACCGAACTCGAAGGTTCATCACCGAATTAATCAAAGCCCTCCACCGGACCCTGTCCTGGGTCAACAAAATCCAGTTTCCTTCAACTCCTATCTCCCATAGATCCCGCCTGACATTATTACACAAACAAACAAAAAACTGGGGTCAACGCTTAAAAATGTCCGAAACTGAATCCCCCCCCCCAAATGTGGACTGAGTAGGATTTCCAAGTTATCTACTGAATCTGTTGACAATGGCTGAAAAACTGGAAAACAGCCAATCAGGTAGAGAACATTCAAGTGCTGTACGTCTATTGATCTTTTGACTGCCGAAGTGGAATAAATCTTGAGAACGTACGATGGAAATTGTAGCACAAATTACATAATTAATCGTGGGCTTTGATTCGCATTAAACTCACTACATAGTTCGATGATTTTCTTTGAATACAGTGTCAATAACTATCTGTTTCTGCAGCCGGAAGTCGGTGCTTTGACGGGGCCGACTTTAGACACGAAGGCTGTCAGTGGTGAAGTTTTCCTTCCCGATACACCGATAAATCTAATCAACGCAGGAAAGTTCTTGAAAATTCCCTATATAATAGGCGTAAACAATGAAGAAGGAATCTTAGCAACACCCAGTAAGTAGACTGAAAAAAATAATAAATGTTGTCCTTGTTCCCCCTTTGACGCACGAAGCTAACCCAAATAACTGCGAATCTCAGTTCCTATGACAAGAAACTCATCTCCATGACAAAGATCGATTCGCTAGTGCTCTTTCTGTTTATTCTGGAAATAATGTAGAAACTATTAATATAGATACCAGTTAGTCCAACTGTAAAGTTACTCAACATTAAAACGCGTCGACCATAAGTTACCACTCTGCTTATCATGTGGGGAAATTTTGTAGTCTTCAAATTAATTATATTTTAAAGAGTATTTTGTTGTTATTTTGAATCTCGATTAAATGCGGTGTAGTTAACAAATTAATACATAAAATAATTTCATTTTGGAACTTGCTGCAGTACAATAAGTTTATTCTGATTACGAAGTTGCGATAGTAGTTTATCTAAAGAAAAAAGTTCATATTACAAGTCATTTTCACATGTCTCGTAGTCAACATGAACGATCAATGAAGTGCCACGTAAGGCTAGATAATTGAAGAGACACGCTTACATTTATATTTTACCTAAAATATGAATAAGAGTAAAATTCAGGATTTTGTGTCTCCTAAATATGAAAACTGGAGTCATGAGACGAGAACTGGAGATGGGTGTGCAAATAAAAACAGAGGCTACTCAACAATCTGAAACAGTTAGCCTCTTTTGTAACTTTGTTAAGTGAATGTTATTTAATGCTTTGTGTCTGAATTACTTCTGTAACTGATACATGACGTGAATTCCCGGAACCGAATTTTACGTGCTGTTCAAACAAGCGTCCTGTGAATTAGACTTGAGGGCGAAATATGTAATATTTTATTACCAGTGAAATAACAGTTTAATGTCCGATATGATTTCAGTAATAAAACCATTCTCCTGGCTGCTAAGGCACGTTGTGAACGTTTTTGAACTGGCTCTTCCTTTCTACGCTGGACAGAAGATACCCAAGGCTCATGACATGGCTGTCGAAGTAAAGAACAAATACTTCAATAACTCCAGACCTCTTGTACTTCAGTACATTGATGTGAGTTTAAAAGATGGTATTTTCTACAATGTTCATCCCGCATTTGGAAGAATATGCCACAAGCCACAGAAAGTTACAAACATTAATCATGAAGATTTCTGTCTTCTGGGTTGTTGCGCTGTGTAGTCTGGTCGATGTTTACCACTGCCTCCGTCTGAAACGTTGGTAAACATCGACCAGACTACACAGCGCAACAACCCAGAAGACAGAAATCTTCATACTCACCGCTGTGAAAACCTCAGATCTTACATTAATCATCTTAAATTTGTTGAATTTAAGTATATTTAGATAAGAAATTGGGCAATATTTCTGCAGTTACTGTATTTTGTCTTATCCGGGAACTAAGCCGTCCCCAGAGTTTGGACTTCAATGGCTCTGACTCCCCTAGAATTTGTACCCATTGTCAGATCTTATTGTATGATCGTGAAATAACATATAAAGGCTCAGAATGCTCTTGTGAACACGATAATGAACTTTGAGATAAGTAAGGACAGAAAATGTATTACTAGCTGAGAGAGTATCAGTTTCTTGACCCAGGATAAACCAGTGTAAACTCCCACCTGGTAATATCGTACAACTTAACTGCATGTATTCAAATGCCGCTCTACACAGTTAATATTTCGTACGCACTGAAATACTTTTTTACGACTCTGTGATGACACATCTTTGACGAAAGTCATAATCTAACAATGTTCTGACTTGAAACTGGAAATATTCCTATTTTCAGTCATTATTATTACCGTGTTTTTATATTGCTTTATCATATTAAGGAGAGTGCCGACTGGACACACAGACTCGTTACGCAAGCTGCAAAATTTAAATAAGAAGCTTTGTTTCTGCAGGTTATCACGGATTTTTTCTTTATTAACGGAGTGTACTGCACCGCGCAGAGACAGGCAACGCACTCCTCTCCAGTCTTCTCGTACGAGTTCTCTTTTGACGGCACTGCGAATGTCTTCAAGAAACTGGCTGGCGGTACCGGCTTTCCAGGTGAGACAGATCACAGAATATCGTACCTGCGTCGGATAAGCTTACTTGATACACACGGCGTCTTCCGTCTTCAGGTAACTGCTTATCACAATATGACAGACTTTTTTATTTTGAGATTAGTGGCCGCAGTTGGAATCTAACTCAAGACGTGTTTAATACAGGGTTAGTAGGATTACCACTAGATAACTACCCCGTTCCCGTTCGATTCCAACCATCGCCTGTTATTGTTAAAATGAAAATAATTATTGTTAGTATAATGACAATCACTCACCAGAAGACGTGGTTTGAGGTAACTCCCGCAAGGCGTACAACAAATACGCTCAAGAGAAGCGTGGCGAAAATGCGACACTTTGAGGTTACGTATGACAACATTAATGCAACCAAAATCTGTCTGTACCTAAGAAATTAACTCATACTCAAAATAGAATAATAATGCTAATAATAATCTGTAATATATATAACTTACAAATGAAAGCTATGAAATAAAATTTAATCCAGTAGGATTGGATTCGATCGTATAACTTATCTGCTCACAAGTTAAGTACACTATGCTATGGGATTGAATTCTGTACGGTATAATTCGTGTGTCGGTAATTCCGTTGTGTGTGTGTGAGCGTGCGCGCGCGTAACGTATGAGGTTTAAAATAAAGTGTGTTTTATTCATTACTGTTTACCAAATTGTATTCATGTGTCTGCTCGTATTCAACAAATACCGTGGTTCTTTCGCCAGGAGTAAAGTGGCCGAGGCGTGAAGCTACTACACACTTCCATCTAATGCCGAGACTAAAAATGTGTGGAGTTATACCTTCACTCTAGCAAATGCCTTCCTGGCTTGTGCCAGAGGCAAATTTATCTCCACCTTTAAATAGAAATTTATCTTCCTCAGGTGCATGTCACGCAGATGATATTCCATACCTGTTCCGAGTTGAAATCTTGAAGGTGAATCTGAAACCTGGAACTCCTGAATATTTGACGTCAGTAAGGATGACGAAATTGTGGGCCAACTTCGCAAAGACTGGGTAAGTGAAAAGAGTAATTATTATAAACAGTGCAGTTGCAAAATTGGACCGTATCATTAAAAATAGCTTATAATTAGTTGTATCTGTTGTTTGTGGAACCCGAACTATATATTTTATATAATCTGATTTAGTGAAAATATTAAGGACTTCATTTAAGATGATTTTGTACAGCTTTATTTCTGTATACGAAGATCAAAAATCTTATAATTTTATTCGTTTAAAATGTTATTTGAACTAAATTGGTTCGGACACATTGGAGATTATTTTCAGTTTTTAGATCGAAGGGGGGCGTATGGAGACCTGGGTAATACTCTCTGGAGTTATAATTTAATGTGACTAATATTAAGATAAGAAAACGAAAAACCTAAGTACGTGCCGCGATATTTCATACGCGATGAAATGACTTGCAAAAGCCTGCATCTGGAAAGTCCAGGAATTTCTTTGAAACAACTGAGTTTACACAGTAGTTCACAATTATCTCCAGAAGGCGTTCACGCATTCACAGTGCGGATTCCTGGCAATTACCAATATTTATGATGTGATATCACCACGTCGTTACTTGTGTGTTCTGCAGAAATATCTAACGGACTGACGGGTGAAATAATAAAAAATTTGTTGCTTGTACAAAGTTATATTATCTTCCCCTAATCTCATATTTCGGATTCTCACGGCGGTTAGGACGTCGATGTTGTTCTGGATAAATAGGTATCTACCTACGAGTCCACACGGACTTACAACCCAGAAGAATACCTGAAACTTCTAGTTCTCACGAAGGTAAATTTGCCGATGTTTTTCTTCTGGGTTATGACACCGTGCAGTCTTGCAAATGGCATTTGTAAATAAAAATAACTGCAACCCAGAAGGTCACTATCGACAAATCTGCTAATGACTGTGGCATCATTCACAGATTTCTTTGTTACAGATACCCCACGCCACAGCCGGACCCTGTGCTCCAGAATGTTTCATGGAAACCTATCAGCAAATCAAATTTCCCTTCCTTGAGTATTGACACTGACCTCAAAATGAAGCACGGACTAAACAATGGACATGCAGAGTGGTGGATGAAACTGTACAGTAAATATATTCCTGACGCATCGCCATGTTGGCCGTTCTATTCAATGTTCGACGTTAATCAGTAACGACGACAAATAAGCTATGCGAAATTGAGCATAAGTAACCTATAAGCATGCAATGTTGTGTATTTACGGTGCTGAAGTTAAGCACACACTAAGCTACAGCTTAAGACCTCACGATAAGAGGAACCTCTATGTACCATTGTTCTAGGCATCGGATTCGTGAACATTCCGTTAGTGTTTAATTACGTTAATTCACTTCTGGGACCATTCTTTCTATTACGTTTCTGTATGTTCATCAGCAATCTGAATGTCACGTGACCGAGGATTCCGGATGTACTTTGTGGTGAGTTATTGATTTCTTAAATTAGTTCTCTTCAGGGTCTTAAAGAAATATGAAGAATGTGGACTGGAATAATCTGGCTCAGGATACGGACAAGTTGTAGCCTCTTGCGAACCTTCACATTCCATTGATAGAGGTGAATTTCTTGGGCTATCTGTGCCTTTTAAGGAGGACTGTACTCCATGGAGTTAGTTACCTTCCGCTACAACTAACTGGGTAGTTAGAAAATACGATTATATCAGTCACGCACGGTCTCTTTTGTTGGTTTGTTCCAGGATCAGATAAAATTGGCACATGCAATAAAAAGCCATACATAAAGAGATGTCAGAACAATGAAATGAAGGTTGTACATAACTTTGTGAGACAAAATCTAAATATCATTTTAAAAATAATATGATTCTTGTTTCGTTTATTCTTCCTCTTGTGCATTAATGTTGAATCCTCGTACGAATTTAAGATTGAAAAACAACAAAGTCCGGATAATTGGACATACACCAGTAAGGTTTCTGGATGTTGGTCCAATCTAAAACGTTCAGTCCACAATTTCGTCCACGCGTCTGGGTCTAGTCTGAAAGGTCCACGTTAGGCCAATGAGATCCAACTGCCATATCTGCCCAGTCGTTATAGCCAGGACACTTACAGTCGAAACCTCTAAAATCGTTTATTAACCCACATTTCATCCACTGCTGTATCAACGTAATACCTGGTGTTGTAAAACACATCGCTTAGTCATTAGCTATAATGAGTTTTTGTAAATTTCTTTAAGTGATGGCGAAAGTAACACTGTTTCATAATAACACATCGATTCTAAATTGAAATCGTTTGAATAATTGAATTGAAATAAGTTTGATCCGATGATTATAACTTTCCCAAATATTTTTCGATCAATCTTCTCTTTTTTGCCGTCAATAAATGTCATGTATTGGAAAATCCTAATAATTTCATTCAGTGTTTTGTCAGTACATTTCAAACGACGTATTGTTCAATCCAAATATAATTTTGGCATTTCTTACTATGTATATTTTGTGCCAGAAAACAAAATTAATGTTTGAACCATTTCCTCCTTTGAACGTTTCATTTCTTGGGCCTTTTGGATTGGATCAAATGTCCTGTAGACGCCAGTAAACATTTTCCCAAAGAGAATAGTTATTTCAAAGAATTGTATCGACAGTGGAATTAAGAAAATGGAAGCAGAAAATGGTAAATCAAGATATCTGCGACATAAGCCCAAAAATATGCAAGAATACAAATGTACGCTACATTAAACCTGATCTCCGTTTCCCACGGTGTTTGTGTGTGGTTATCAGATAATCAGAACTCTATAGGCTACACATTTCATAACCCTGCGTGACGTTCCGGTAGTGCATTCTGGTGCAACAGCTCTTTACGTGATACATAAAATAAAAACTTCGTTTGCCCACATCAGTGTCCGCCAGGAACTGTACCCGCATCATGGCATCGTTGCTACCAGCAGCACTGGTGCTCATATTCGCCCTCTCCAAACCCGTAGCAACTGAAGAGGAAAGCGATGGGCCTCTCGTTCAGACAGAACAGGGGACCATCAGAGGAATCCAAGGCGTATCAATCAGGGACAAAGAATTTCTTGTGTTCCTAGGAATTCCTTACGCAAAACCACCGGTTGGTGAACTGAGATTTAAGGTACGCTTCGTTGTTTCTGTACCTCACACCATAACGATCGCTGTCAAACTGTGAATGATTTGTAAATTAGCGGACATGTAGACAGGCACGGAGTCAAACAATTAAGGTAACATTTGTGAAGTTAGGAATTAGTACTGAGGTCCTTAACCACAAGTAGGTTTTATATATCAAAGTCGTATCAATTCAAGCTCATACGGAATCAGCTGAGCTGGGAAAATTCTTCCATTTATGTCCTGAATCCCCAGGCTATACGTACAGAAACCGAAAACCCCTCTAGGTGATAAAATATGCGATTATAAACACAATGGTAATTATAGCGTCAATGCCCGTTTGTGCCTAGTTGAATCGCTTCATTGCAGGACAAATCTGCAAGTTACAGAATTTGTGAGAATATATTACAGAATTAAAAACATGATAATAATAAATGATGTGTTAGAAGAAGTTGAATGAAATCGACACTTAACTACATTACAGGCTCCTCAGCTTCCAGATCCTTGGAATGAAACTTTCGAGGCAACTCAGGAAGGTAGCAACTGTCCACAAATAGGATTAATGTCACAAATGAAGGAAGGTGATGAGAACTGTCTTTTCCTGAATATCTTTACCAACAAGGTAACAAACAGCAATAGAATACTCAAGATGACTACAGAAAGAAAATTATCTATGAACCATTATGCTACCTAGGGGCCGTGGTACCTTATGGATTGAAGGCACGATCGAAATTGATTTGCGGTCTGGTTTTAGTGTAAACTTTTCTCTTCACTGAACACAGATGGAGAAACTAAACTCCCACCTCGGATCACATAAATCACTAAATTTTAAGTACATGAAACAAAGCCTGTAGCGTTCAATATAAGTGAAGTGAGTGATGAGAAATGCACACAAAATTTTAGTCGGAAACCTTGGAGGTAAAAAGAGTACTTGAAAGAGCAAGGCGTAGATTCTAAGAATAGGGAGCAGTAGCGATCTCTTGAAAACATCTCGAAAAGCCTTCAGATGATATAAAAGACGGTGAAATTATTTAATCAGCTGAGCGACTATCAGTTTTTATTCTATGTCGTCGAAGAGTTTTCTGAAACGATCAGTGAAATTTGGATCTTGTCATAACTTTATAAAAGTCGAATAAAAATCGACCAAACGGCGAGTTGCCGGACAGAAGTTAGAATGTGATTATGCTAAAGGTACCGCGCACAGCCTAAAATATTACGTAAACAAATGCAAACAATAATAAATACCCACATGTTCATTATGTAAAATAACAACAAAAGCTGTATGTCTGTGGTCTCAGTTACCTGCAGACTCAAACGACTTAAAAGCCGTGATGGTGTGGATCCATGGAGGAGCTTTCATAACCGGATCTGCAACTTCAATGATGTTTGGACCCGATCATCTGCTGACAGAAGACATCGTCTTCGTTTCCATCAACTACCGCATTGGCGTTTTAGGTATTTCAGAATCTCGTTATGTTTCGTTGGGCTGGTTTAGTTAAAAATAGTCCAGCTTAGTTTGACTTAGATGAGCACACGCGCAAGTCCACAGAAGTTCATCGCAAAGGCTATACGACCCTCCGTCGTTGTTATGTCTTGAGAATTGCAGGCCGATTACGGCATGGGCATTGTCCGTATCATTTACCTTGGCTTTAAACAAAAGCGAGCCGAGGAAGGAGAGCGTGAGGTTTCATATTTTCACAGCCGGAAATACAAAGTTGACAGTCTTCTGGATATGTTGCGCTGTGTACCTCGTAGAAATTTACCGACGTTTCAGAGGTGCTTATTACCTCCATCATCAGGGCGCCCTGATAATGGAAGCAGTAGGAATCTCTGAAAAGTCGACCAGTTTCCACGAGGCTGCCCGGCGCAACTTAATCTACTGGAAACCTCGGACCCGTCGAGCATTATTGTCAAAGTCAACAGTTTAAATCCGCTGAACATATTAGTTAACTTTTATACGTGCATGATATCGTACAAGTTTTGTAAATAAAGCATCAATACCTACGTTTCGTAATTTTACGCCCAGTATTATTCAAGGGACTTTGTATCTGCTTAGATCGTTTCTTCTTTAGGATTTCTAAGTCTGCCAGAGGCTGGGATTCCCGGTAACAACGGTCTGAAGGACCAAGTGATGGCTCTGCGGTGGGTGCAGAAGAACATAGCCAATTTTGGTGGGGATCCCGGCAAAGTGACCATCTTTGGGCAAAGCTCTGGGGCCGCCAGCGTTCACTTCCATCTCATGTCTCCTATGACCACAGGTACCGTAAAACGACGCAGAAGAATACCATAATTGCTAAATATACTATGCGTTGTCATTTGCGCAAAGGGATAGCAAGAAAAAGTGACACATTACTTCGGGTAAATATTCTACATACATCGACCGGCGTGGCGCATCGTATTCGAGAGATACCTAGTTCGAATCCTGCCCCATGACCGGTTACTCCAAAGTTGTTATTATTATCACACAGTACCTCCTAAGGTGGCGCAATTTGTGTTCGGGTTACGAAGGACTGAAGATAATTTTAGTTACAATTGTTTTTATAAATAAATTATAAAAATAATTGCAATTCTATTTTACAAAATGTGTCCTAGAGACGAATAATGTTTTGCTGTTTGTTTTTCGGCCTACATAAATTTAATTTTAAGTTATTTTGGGCCAAATAAGTGATCACTAAGAGCTACTCTTAATCTAGTCGTGTACAGCATTTCTCTTTTTCCTGATAAGTAATTTTTATGTACTTCATATTCTGAGTGCAATATTGGAGTCAGGAGGACACGAAATCCTAGAACTTTCTAAGAAACCCAAAATCAGGTAATGCAACTTAATACTGAACTTAGAATCTTCTCTGAACGACTGTAGAGCCAGAGTATCGCAAGGCGGCCATCTTGATACTTCTCACGACAGGGGCTTGAAACGTAATAAGATGGGCTGTCCCCCATTGGCATGCTGCGCATTCAAAGTTTTGCCACTACAGGGCAACTAGTGAATATGATTCTTAAATTTTAAATTCGATAGATGGACAGACAGCTCTAGAAATGTCCTCTGTTTCAGGACTGTTCCATCGAGCTATCTCACAGAGCGGTACAGGACTCTCTAATTGGGCTTACGCTGAGCCAGAATACATGAACGCAGGGGCCTTTAATGTTGGAGCCGCGATCGGGTGTGTCTCTACTAATGCTAAGGATCTGCTCGAGTGTTTCAGGACGAAACCCGCAAAAGATTTTGTCAACGTATCAGCTTGTGAGGTATCAAATGCACAATTACCTACTCCAGTAATAAACAGTTTGTTTGAGCACAATCGAATACGTAATATATAAAAACGCTGAATCCAAGTAACGTTCGGAATACTGTAACACAAATACACATTTATTTTCCGAATATTATATATTATTAATAATATTTCGAGCTGGGCGGCATCATTTCATGCTACTGATCTATCCAACAAAAGCGCAAATATTAAGGGTCCCGTAGGATTCTTACAGCGACTACTTTCTTTATCGTTCAGTTTTAAGCAGACATTTCCAGTTGTTTACTTGGACAGCAGTTATTTCAGTATTAAAGATACATCAGAGAAGATGTTGAAACTTTTTAGCAGATTTCAGGAAACATGTGTTTCCGTCTATATGCTAGGCTACAATAATTGGTTTTACAGAGCAAAATATTAGCTATGTCCTCAACTGCTTCGTTAACTGGTAACCGTTTAATGCATCAAGCAATTACTGGGCGGTGACACTCCGGTAAATAATAGAACCTATTCATCAGATTGTTATAGTAAATTAGCTAAATTATTATTTCAGTACAGTTTATTTCCAGAAAAAGACCGACGTAGGAACAAGCGCTTTCGCTAGTTAAGAAAGGGACTACTGCACGATTTAGATTACAAATGTGAGATTCGAAATGGAACATAAATAAGTGAAACAATACGCATTACAAACCGAATCAAGTTTTAATACGGCAATTATTCTATATCATCTCATTTTCTCCTTCAACACATAGTTTTATTCTACATAATATTGACTAGGCTAATAATTCTCTAATTCTTTTGAGAATAGCGTAAAATAGACCTATATGAAATATCCCTGAAAATGCTACGTATTGCATTTTACTTTTAATAGAAGTATTGATAAACCTAACTTACGAAACAACGAAATGATAAAAATAAGAATCTTAATAGGAATTATATTTAGGGTAGAAGAAGGTGAAATGTTCCTCCGACGTTGGTAGCCACTACACGATGTCACAACTCAGAAGACCACAATAAACATTTAAATTTACGTTTCCAGGATGAGACAGGTGTATTCCAAACAACGCTCAAACCAACAAGAGAAGAATATAATGTGAATGATGAGGAAGTTTTCCTTCCAGGAAAACCAGCCGATCTTATTTCATCAAAAAAGTTTCATGCTGTGCCCTACATTACAGGAATCAACTCTAAAGAAGCACTCACATTTCTAAAACGTGGGTAAAATTAACACTATTCTTGTTGTTAAATCCGTACAGAACATAAACTTATAACACCAGGTTCCCTCAGACTGCGATGTGTTCTCTTGATCTCTTCTTGCATCAATTCTGTATCGGCCAAGATTTTAATTTCAATAACAGCAAATATTGTTACATTCCTGGATCGAGGGAAATTTGATGATTACTTCGCATTCAAGGGCAAACTTTTCTTAACCACTTCCGAGCCAAATTATTAAATACGGTTCAAATAATGCTTGGCCGTGGGCAGCTAGAGATTGTATAAATATAAGATGGAACCAGATTGGTCTAGATGGCACGAAGAGTTTAACAAACTCATTTAGGTGTATATGTACCGATTGGAAAAACAAGCATGCACAGTTTAGGGTAAAAAACATTAATGTTTCTTGTCTTTTTAAATCGCTCTTTCACGGCGTTTACTCAGTACGATGAAATTTTCAGTCTACCAGACAGGAACCTACGCTGATATTTCTTTAACTGTAGTAAATGGCATAAAATCTTGAGTTAAGAATTTTACAGAAATACTCCTGTACTTCAGACTCATTGTGAAATTCCTTGTACGATGTAGCACAAAGAACCAATGTCCGTTTCCCGCAAGTCTTGTAAACATTTCCCTCTATCAGGACCTAAGCACAGAACTGTGCGAATATGAATTTTATTTATTCTTGTTATATCACAGAAGTATAGTCATCACAACCTTATTTTCATTAATTTTCGTGTAAAATATTTTCCATCTACATTATTTTTATAACATTCATTGCTGCCAAAATAACTGGAAACGTAAGAATACAATGGAGTAAAACATATATAATATAATAACCGTGCCATCTAAATAACTTCCGCGCGTCCATTATTTATTAGGTCAAGTTCAGAACATAATAGACCGTCTTTTCTAAAGCCGAATTTTTGCGGTTCGCAGCTCTGATGCAGCGATCAGTAGTGGCGATATACTCTTTAACTAATTTCCTGAAGTCGAGGCGTTATTTATTACCGCGGTGCCCGAATTTATAACTTGTGTTGGGCAAGGCCGTGGTCTAGGCAACACGGAGTTTTCCTCCGTGGCATCAAACAATTACTCCATTCACACACAGAAGAAGGCAATGGCAAACCACTTCTGGATCATCTGCCAAGAACGTATATGAACAGGTCCCAGTCCGAGAAAAGGATGGAAGGATCCTGTTCATATGGACCTGTCGTCAGACAGAACACTAATAATAATAATAATATGTTATGTTATCGTCCTCTGTAATAACAACCGATTAGCAAACTATAAAATAACATGGAAATAATAACTACGAATAGTGGATCGACGAAGAACTACTCTCCAGGCAGAATACATGCAAGAACTGAAGAAAAACTCACAGCGATTATCAAAGGTTTTCTTGTAATTCTGTTGATACGTCTTTGGAGTTCGGTAAAAGTACAAATTACGTTTGTCGCTAAATCCTTTTTTACAGTACACCAATAACATAGTGTTATGTGTATAAAATGGAGTAATTTTACGATTAAGTGATTTAAAGTCAAACAGAAACATGGGACACAATTTAAATGTATTTTTATTGTTTTACAGGAACAGAAAAACCTTCATTCTGGGACAAGTTCGATAAAAACTTTGACAAAGTAGTGGCAGGTGTTGCATATAAAGACGTCTCGCAAGTGAAGGATGTTTCCGAAAAAATTAAGAAATTTTACTTCGGAGATAAAAAGCCTTCCAAAGACACACTGGATAATTTTGTAGATGTAAGTACAAAAATTACATTAACAATAGAAAATAGTTAGTTTTCTCCATAGTATTTGGTTAAATTTCTATGACCAGAACTACACGGTGACTACACCCACATACTAGCTTATTCTCACCTACAGCAACTGACGTTTGTATGTCCCAGTGCTTTACAGATTTCGATTACTTCATCGGCGCAGACAGAGCTGTGAAAAAACACGCTGCCATCTCAACTGCGCCCGTGTTTTACTATTACTTCCAGTTTGATGGAGAACTAGGAATTGTCAAAAAGGCCTTAAAACTCAAGAACCCAGGTAAATTCATGCACACAAAACTGTTGCCACAACAAATGTGATTTTGCAGTTAAGAAGTCTGATGTGTCAACTTTTCTTAGGCTACACACAACTTCGAAGTATAAACTATCGCTTACGCCAACGATAAACTGATTTTTAAATCCGTTCTTGTAAAATTCTGGGTTTTGTTCACGAAAAAATGTTCTCGCAGCAGACTTCACTTCTTCATCTGACCCTAAATTCTGGCCCCGCAGATGCTCAATGAACTTAGGGGAGGGATGAAAATCACTCGGTGCCAAATCTGGGCTGTTCGGGGATGAGGAAAAAGGGAAATATCCAGACGTTCAATCGCTTTTCATGTTCGAGCATTCGAGGTGATGTTGACTGAGTTTTGCGATGTTAATGGCGTTAATTCTTACCGATTTTATGGAACGAGGGACAACCACTAATTCTGAACGTTATAATGAATCTTGAAATAAGTTGATGAAGAGATTCAAAAGAGTGCCAACGCTTGACCTCACACCAGTGCTCGAACAGGAGAACCGATTGAACGTCTTGCCTTGAATACGTTTTTCTTTCACTAAAAAATTCCATCTCAACCATGCGAAGCATGCAATTTTGTGGCGTCTACTACAGTTGACTTTGCTGCTCTCAACATATTAAATAGTAATAAAAATAAACTAGAAAATATATAAGTTAAAACGCAATTCTCAGTAGCGGCCTTTCTCCCACACCAGATGTGGGCTTAATGGGTTTATACCATTCTGACTGGATTTGGAACAAACTGTTACTTTGTTACGCTTGTATGCCTCACCGCAGTATTTCCATGTACAAAACTTAATTACTATCAATAATGAAGTTGTGGGTCCGTGGTTAAAACATTAACGACTGGTTAATTAACAGCCTTCTAGTAACTCAGTAAGACGATTGGTATAAGAATAGCTAGTTCCTTCGCATAATTTAATATTTAAAATGCAAAAACGTTCTCTGAATTTGTCATTATGTATTTCAACGTATCTAACATTGTAGGAGTTGCTCACGCCGATGAACTGGGGTATATGTTTAGTACCATTATCAGCGCTCCTATCGAGGATGATTCAGATGAAAATAAGACTCTGACCAGAGTAGTCAAGATGTGGACCAACTTCGCTAAAACAGGGTGAGAATCCACTCAGATTAGTAACTTTATATTCCCAATGTTTTTAAAGTAAAACGCGAAGAAACAGAATACAGTGCTTACTGTACGTACAACTTTAACACACAGCATTTAGCCCACTGAGCGTAGGTCCATTTTTATGGTCCTCGGAATAAACAATAATTCTACTCTGAACAGCAATAACCAACTGTTCTTTGTAACAGAGACGCGTTTTTCTTCTTCTAGAGATAAGAACAGTTATTTAGATTGACGTCATGCTTCTAAGGGTTGACGGATCCGTAATTTTTACGTTTCAGTGACCCTAGTTCGGAAATGAACTCAGTACTTAACGTCAAGTGGGACCCGATGACCAAAACAGATCCTGTCTACTTGGACATCAACAAAGAGCTGGCTATGCGACGCGACCTACTGGCGGACCGAGCGTCAGTGTGGAATGAAGCACTGGATCCATTATAATACACATCTTGTGGGATTTTGAGACCCTGTATTTAAAACTGTGACAACATTTAGTTAAATTTAATCTCTGAGCATTGATCATAAAATAAATATTAACGGTTAATTAAAAATCTAGATTTATTTAGCCGAGAATTACGTATGCATATAGAAGTATCATTCAGGTCGGTTATGGACGGGGTTACAAAAGGGTTTGCATTTATAATATGGAAGTTAACAACTCATGGTTCTTGAAATGATTTAAACATGAATTCTCTGTTGAATATATTTTGGAATAGAATGAAGACCGACGCACCTGTAGTGTGGTAGTAGTCTAACAACGTTTGAGAGAGTTTCAGAAGACATTTCAGTAGACACACAGCTTCATATTCGCCGGCGTAAGAACCTCAGATCTCACCAATGTAAACAGTCGACGCTAAATTTTCGCTGATCATCCCAATATACTATATATGCTTACACAACCGATATATAAGAAGCTTTATTTATTGTTATTATGGGGTTACTACGCCATGCTTCTGCGAAACTACGGCCAATAGCGGACCCATTGTCCATCTTCTCATTCGATGCTGTGTAGTCTGAGCTACTGGAAAAGCGTCGTTAAATAAAATATAAATACATTTAAAGTTACAATAACGATATAAAATTCAGTTTAGCCATAATATAACTTACATACAGCATACAACACGAAGTATAAATTCAGATGAATAATGATGGCATACAAGGAATGTTAAAATGTAAAAGTAATAAAAGTTTAAGCTGCGGAAAAATTGCGCAGAGCAAACCATTGTAGTGGCTGCCCAAGAGCACACTTTTATATCACCCTATTCATATACGTGAGCGTTCATTATGGTGTTTGGTAGCAATTTGATATTTACCTGCACACTATTAGGGTTATATTAGTTACTTTATTTAATGGATCTGAACAGTCACGGAATGATAGTCAAATAGAAAATCTCATTTACAGAACAACACGTCATAAACCCGTACGGAAGTTATCTGAAAATGTTTAAACCTATTAATTTTCAAAAAGATTATCAACATTAAATAGAAATGAGAAACACAAGTTTTAAAAATTGTGTTTTAACTTCACTCTCGCAAGGGAATGTCCGAGTATCTCTCTCCTCGGTGAGAGCGAAAGACGATTATGCGTGATTCACTTAGACACAATGGGTAGTGGGGGAGAAATATTCGGTCTAATAACAGCGCATGTTACGCCAGAAGGACTGCTCTACACAAAAGATACAGACAATTACAATTTGGCGTAAAACAATAATAACGCACATTTGCCGAACTAAATACACGTTACAATTTAATATTCTGTAAATAACTATGTCTATACGACCTTCTGGCATAATGCCCTAGATATAAGCTTCTGTTTGGAAACCTAAATAGGTAGGTATCATCTAACAGACCTAGGCACAGATGAGGACAACAGAGACAATGAAGTTTAAATTTACTGTCTCAACATCAGAACTGGAAAATCAATGAGCAAAGCTTAGGCTTACCTATTCTTCGAGTCGTAAATCCTCCTCCGTTGACTTCACTGATTTGACTCACCTCCTCACATTATTTGGTTTGCACGTGCCCACTCTGTTCTCAACCTTCAACTGCCACTACGAGACGAAGTAACTATGACTCCCACCCTCTTCCGCCACCCCCAAACGATTTCTGCCATTCAGACAGAGGACAGCAAGTTTTATGATATCAGCTCAGACTTTTCATGAAAGACTCTTGGGTTACAAGCCGCGTCAAGTGGCTGAACAGTGAATAAACCATATCTTCTGCCAACGTTTCGACAACATTCTCTGCTCTCATCCTCAGGGCTGCTGCGTAAGTTGAGACTTTCTTTCTAAAGGAAATAAATTATTGTACAGCATTATATCTGTTTGTGCCTAATCACAGTAACTTCTGAGTAAACATCTATGACCTACTTGAAATTCACGAAAATTATTACATCTGAAGCCTCTATAAAAATGTACGCATAATAAACATATTAATCAGATTAGAAAGAAAAGAATAAACATTAGCTACACTGGTTTTGCGTTATTAATCAACTAATGGCGTGCTTCAAGATAAAATCATTTTGGAAACGGTACCTCCCAATGGTTTCAACATAAAGCTCCTGGCATAGCTAATCTCAACACAGGCGAGCAGGTATTTCGGGAACATTGGCAGGCAGAGAACGAGAGAACACGCACGATTTGAAACATATCGAACAGGCGATAGACGACTGGTCCTCTGCACTCAAACTGTCACACCATATAACACTGAGATACTATCTAAAAACTTGATTGTTACGTAATAAATAACACCACCTAAGGGGCTGACTGAGCCACAACATATCACTTTGCCTCGATAACTCGGGTTATAGTAATTTGTGTAATGAATATGCATCATACGTACCTCGATCTAGAGGCAGTGACGTGACAAGTAACTTCCTCTTAATGTCATTGTAACTCAAGAATTTCTTCTTTCCAGCGAAACACACACTTCACGTTTATTTGGTCGTATTTTAATTCTGGTCTAGCTATAGTTAACAAAAAGACTGTCACTACGTAAGTTTCTTTACTATTTACCGCCTCCGTGTTGTGCGACGAAGTTACTATAGAACAAAAGAAAATCGAACATTTTATCAAACAAGAAATGTACCACGTTTAAATCTTGTTTTATATTTACATTTGAGTCTCGCTTCTTGAGAATCTTTTGTAGGCTATAGAAATCAAAGTATAATTACGGACTCCCGATGTAGATGTGCAATGAGTTGGAAGACATTTACATATCGCAAGTACACTCATTCAAAGACCATCAGAGAAGGGAATTTTTTCTATCTTAATTATAACCGAGATATACGATATTTGGAATGGTGAGAATATAAATAAATAAATGGATATTATGTAGAATGTCGCTAGTTTTACTTGTTTCAAAGTAAAATTAGTAAATACGTACATTGTAATTTTATTCAAAACATCTTCAGTACCTACTGCTTCAATAAATGACCCCTGTATAAATTGTCAAATGAAATACCAGCGTTGTGTGTTAGGTGAAGGAATGCATAACCTCTTTCTTCCTTGCCTTTCCCTTCCATCAGCCTTCAAGTGATTCATCCTTTTCCACTACCTGCACAGATTACACACAATCATAATACCAACATGCACATTCACATCTAACACAAAGTAATCGGAAGTTAAAACTATTTTCAGTACTTACCAGACACCAGAAAGGCAACAATGAGTATTAAGATACAAAGAGGGGCAAGAAGGGAGAAGTGAACACCAGAAGACCACATCACCCACTCACGCATGAATGGCAGGTTGACTGATTAAGAATCAGAGTGTGTTCTTCCAAAATGCACGTACCACTTAGATATTTATAGACTTCTGTTGCTTACATCTTGAAGAAGCTGAATCAGTATGTGAAACTGGAAGTTTGTTTAAAATCATATTTATTTTTTATATTTTTGCAATATTATACAATAATCGATGTCAGTTTCGTTCGTTTAGTTTTCATTCATTCCAATCAGAAGAGCACATACAGAACTGAGGGTTATCTGTTATTGCACATCATTAACTTATGTTAATACATGACAATAAAACTAAACTCACGAGGGAAATAAGACACCCAGAGAAGCCATTATGGTCTTTATTGTTGATACTGTTATCACCGATGCTTCCAGTTACAGTCTCATCAGCTTTCCTGGTGCCTCCTGCTTCAAAAAGGGTTGAATAAAGTCCATTTCTAGGATGGGGGCATCTATGAGGGAAAACAATTAGAATTATGGTTGAACGAAGAACCTGGCATGGAAGGACAAATCAGCTTAAAATCCTAGACCTCCTGCAGACATGTAGCATATTAATTACAGACCACCAGTTTGTTAACTCGTTCATAACAGCATTTATTTTTGCATTAGCATGGATCCTACAAGGTTCCACAGTTAACATAATGGTTGCCAGAGGTTCTGTTTTAACACTTATTTCAGATGCAATTTCTTTACAGCCTTTTGCAACATATTTGCATCCCAGATAACAAACAAAAATAATGCAATAAATATGGAAATAAGAATAGGATCCCAAGCTGTTCTTCTTTCAACCTTTTTTTTGGGGGGGAGGGGGGGTGAAATCACGAGATCAAATCCCAGGCCATTGAATGAATGAAATTTTCATTCACAAACAGTGACTTCATTTTGGAATAAAATTATAAACTACTGTGTGAAAAATTATATAACGTTGTTGATGGATTATTTTAAAAAAATTAGCACTGTAAAGGTTCAAAGAGAGTACCAATTTATATAACTAAACATTCTACTAATGTTAATTTAATAAAAATATGTTGTTGCTAAATGAACTTCCTTAGGCAGGTAAGATGCAAATAATTTTTTCTCTCAAGTTTTACTGGTAGTAGCTGACATTGAGAGTGACTTCATAGATTCAATCTAGCCATACATTGTCGCTCCAATGCGATTAAAACGTTGTAAACAGCTCTTCCTGAATGCTGCTAGATCGCACCAGAGTTTTTGGGACCCCAAAGGCACCTGTGAGCGATTCAGATTTTGTGGCTTCTTGTGCCCGGCGTAAATGGTATTCTTCTGAGAAGTCCTGTTTGCAAAAGAAAGACATACATTTGCCAAGATTAAATGGAACTATCATTATTTTTGTAACTCTTTCCTATTTCAACCAAAACTTACATTCTCTGCATATCCTAGCATCTTCTACAGAAAAATGACAACAATGCATCAAACTCCTTGAAATTTCAGGTCCACATTCCTAATTAAGAAAACAATACTTTCTTTTGTTTTTATGACAATGAATTTAAAAAACTAAAATTTTTAATATTTTAATAGAATACATGTTTCAGCATCACAGAGCTCTTAATCTCATATATAATTCTCATACTTTCCAGATGATGTAATGTAGAGAAATTCCATGCTCACTACCTGAAAATTTCCCCTGTTATTATGCATCATGTCGCTTACCTTGAGCCTGTTTCCTAGAAATATGGCACGTTCTCTCTTCTTGATCACAAATTCTGTTGGTAGCAACCACCGATGCTCATGACATTCTTCAGCTGTAGGCCGCTTCCTATAAATGTGAACAAAAGATGAATCAAAAGCAGAAAATAACAAGAAAATATGAAATACTTCTGTGACTGAAATATTTCCTTCGGTGCTTTCAGTACAACGAATGACTCAAAGTGTTAGCCAAATCATTAGAATATTTTGTTTTTACCAACAGATATCAGGCAGTTACTACAAAACCATCAAAGACAGTGTCAGTGACAATAATCATTAAAACATAATTACTGGAACTTTATAAAAATGTCTATTTTTCAAACCAAACACAGAGTCTACTGAGTCACAGTTCTTAGTAGTAATGATGTGTCAATATTTACTTGTGAAACTATTTTCAGATAGCTTCTTTCTTTTTTGAATACCACACATCACTGTACAACTCTTTGCTTTCTAAATCCCAAGAATATATCCAAAAATGGTACAATAAACATGATAGCAACAAATGTTTTGTAAAATATTATTATGCCATATGTTCCTTTATTCTGTGTAGCTCCATACCACAGTATCTTAATTCAAACTTTAAACAATCTAAAATTCCAATTATACAGGCAATTTATATTTCCATCTGCTTCCACTTAGCACACAGACACACAAAAAGGGTCAAGTAGGGGTATATAGGAACATGAATTACAATTAAAATTTTTGATGGTCTAAGTTTGAATTGATATACTAATACTATGCCTCTTTCTGTTTTTATGATAATTAATTTGTACACTATGAAATATAATTACTTTGAGAAAATTTTAATTAAAATATGATTAGCTATAATAAATTTCACATTTCTCCTTCAATTTCAAAGAAGCAGTTTGCTTGATGAGAGCAAAATTGACTGTTCAGGCACAACAAATGTCTTTGCTGTCCAGCTGCAGGTGAGTTACGTCTGTCAGTACTTAAATATAAACATAGCCAGATGTTTCAGCAGTCATAGTGATGACTCCAGGTTGTTATTCATCTATCACCACCATAATTTTAATTTCCACAATTCCTGATAAACTACTTTCAACATACTTATAATACTGTTTTCAAGTTTTACAAGGTTTGACATTCCACATACACCCAACAACAAACAAATATTACTTTCTTGTAGTCTATCCAAACTGTACCATGAGAGAGTTCATCATATACAGTAAACATTATACATATAAAGAAGAAATCAAAGATTCCAATAGAGTGTACTTAAACAGACTAGAATTTCCCACATAACACAGTCCAAAAGATTTTGGGTCTCTGAATTTTTCTTTCATTCAAACTGCACATAGACTTCTGTAATGAACTAGTGTGGCAAATAACACTATACATTTTTCCAGGTTTCTTTTTTATAATACAAGAATCCTGATACTGTTAATGTTTCAAAAGGAGGAGACAATGTCTCCATGGCACTGCAGCTGTTAATGGGCCCATTAAGGCTCTTGATAAATGGTCCTTACTTTTAATATTATTTAATGTTATGGGAAAGAAAACTGTAAGGGGCTACATACCCTGGTGCTCTCTTAAACACCAATATAAGGAATCGTGTAGCTTCCTGTGTCAGCTCTTTGAAGAGATATTCAAACCTGTAGCGCACAAATGTTACATTTTGGCGTGTCTCTTCACTGTCAGTCCCTCTGAAAGGTGATACTCCTGACAGCAGGATATACATTACAACACCAACACTCCAGATATCAGTCTGTGGAAAAGCTGGCTCATTCTTCAACACTTCTGGAGCTGCAACACAACACCAGCAATGTGTGATGCAAACAGAATGATCTGTGTCTGCCTTCCTGAGAATTCCTCTCAAATTACTAATACAATTTTAATCATGCCAGCATATCTAGAAAGCAGTATTCTGGGTATAAACCCAGATCTTTCAAATTATTCAAACAGCTTACCAACTGTTTGAGCACTCCTTTAAGCTGCCTGGCTTTGAAAAGATACTTAACCTCCATCATCCATATAATGCAGCTTACACATGATCCCACTATCTGTGTTTTGCACTAGCATACAGCTAAACCTCCAACCCTGAGCTAAGGTCAGGTTGGCAATCCCAAAACATGGTTTTAAATCACCTGTTCCCATATGACAAGGTTAAATGTCCAAATAGTGAGACTGCCTAGACGTGGTCAACAAGTTTGACTCACAGGTTATCTCTTGAGCTACAAGTTAGGAGGCAGAAGTAATAACATTTAAAAAACAATTTTAACATTAAAACATATTCTGTTTTCTTTCCATTTCAGTCACCTTATACCCCAAAGCACTTTGTAAGTTAAAAATTTCAGTTCATACTTTAGTTTGACCACTGATGTAAAATAAAAGAAAACAAACTGGCCAAAAGTCACACAAATGGGAATAACGAAATAGAATTTTCATACTCACATTCTAATTTATCAAATTCAGGTAAAGAAGGAACTGACAAGAGTGGTAATAAAAGGACAACAAGTGCACTTATGTTTGCAGACATCCTGAAGTCACTTTCAACAATTCAAGTTTGGGAAAATGCTATGCATAAACTTGCATGACTTTAAACATGAAAATTACAGAAAGCTGTACTAATTAATAAACTAACCTGAATATTCTGAGTCCCCTACTTTTTCAACAACAGTACCCAGTTTACTGACATGCTGGGCAGAGCCAAAGTCTACCAGTTTCACCTGCACACTGCGCACTGATGCCATCACAATGTTATCAGGCTGGAGGTTCAGATGGCAGTAGCCTCGCCAATGCAAGTACTGGAGCCCGTCAAGAATCTGTGTAACATGATTGGTGATTAGTTTTCTTTAAAAATTAAATAGATTCATGTTTCATGAATCTCAACATATAATGGTAAAAAGAAAGCACTCTGACCATGAAAAACTAACTTCAGTATTTCAGCTAAGAAGTAGCTTTATGTGTTATATGTTGATACCAGTATTCAGGCAACAAGATTGTTTTGCAGTTTTCCACTGCAGAACACAAAAACAGAACAAACTGCACTAATTCTACCACAGTGCACATTCTGAAAAGTGAGTTACTTTCATCTAATGCAAGTTCATAAATCACCTGCGTAATAACAGTGGCCACCATTTGTTCTGTATACTCATGTCTGCTGGAAAAGTATGTAAGGATGTCAGCACCCTGCAGCTTTTCCTGCACCAAGATAGCAATTGTTGATCCTGGATACAAATTAAATCATGTCAGCCAAATTCTGTAACCAACAAATACCTACAAGTGCTGACAGATATATTACAGTCAAGAGGAATAACAACTACGTAAAATAGCCAAGATGGATGACAGAGGTGGTTGTCAATACTTATGTACAACAGATATCACTGTCATCTTAGCCACCTGACTATTGTATAGTCTTTCATGAGCTGTTAGTACCCGATGAGTTAAAATTCCATTTTGCAACCCAAAGTTTCAGTACCATGTTCACAAAGTCTGCCATTGGATCCTGTACCATAATCTATTTTATGCTTATAATCCTGTTTTCATGTAGGTCTTTCAGGTAGTCTACGTCATTAAAGTGTTCCAACCAAAATATTAATGTATTTATTGTTTCCCCCAAGCACTATATATGTTCTATCCAGCTTATCTTCCTCTGTTTAATCATCCTAATAAAACTAGGTGAATAGTAACATTTATGACACTCTTCATTATATAATTAATTGCCTCTATTACTTTACATCTCCTGGGGCCAACTATTCTTATCACTATTTTGTTTTTAAACATCCAAACACTACAAGGAATACATACACCTTAAGCTTCGGAAAGGAGATAACAAGCTAAATGATCCTGGCCTGGATAAATATAAATTAAATTAGTTACTAATCTGTGAAACATTATTATGGATAACAACAATTCTGAAACTATTCTAAAATGCAGAAATGAGAGTTTAGTGCAAGAACATAAGTTGTGCTACATTTTCTCCTACCTGCTGGTTTATATGCTGCAAGTAAGGCTGCTACTCTTTCATGCCTGAAGGACCTAAGAGCCTCAAATTCTCTTGTGACCTTAGCTTCAGTCTCAGGTCTCAGTTCCAACAGTTTGGCCACAATAACTTTATCTGAGGCTTTCTCAATGCCCTTTACAACTGCTGAGAAATGGCCACTGTAATTAAATAAATGTCAGTAAGAGCCAATGAAAGTTTTAATTTCAGAAAATAATTTTCAGTCTCCAGTGACAATGAGAAGTGATGATTTACCGAGCAAGCTCTGAGATAAAGCTGTATTTTTCACCAAGAGCCCCCTCACTACTCCACTCAATCGGTGTTTTCTCTGCTGAATAATCCAAGTGAACGACTGGTTCATCTAGAGTAATCTCTTGACCAGACTCAGTGATCTCCTGAAGGTGCTTCATGGCTCTTGTAACCTGCACCTTTGGAGCACCTAAATTATAAAGCATTAATAGCAACTCCTGGCATTGCAATTTCAATGTAAATATAATATTCGGCATTCTGATATTAGTCACATTCCTACATAAGAGAAATTAAAATAATTTCATTTCAACAAAATTTTAGTTCAGTTATATTCATTGGTAACATACAAAAGAGTCAGGGTAAGGAAGTAGTGGATAGGGAAAGTACAAAAAGAGAAATGATAAATAGTATATTATTAATACCTGCTTCTTTGGTCCTAACAAGTGGAGTTGGAATGCCCTTCTCACTCCAGCCAATGCGATTCCTTGCAGCTAACCGAAACTGATGAGTGACATTTGAACGCAAGTTACGGACAACATAGAACTCATGGTCAATATTGTTAGCAACATCCAACCATTCCACATTATCTGTAACAGAGTTACAAGAAAGATACTCATGATAATGTTATCAAGAATGTAGTCCTAAAAACTAACGAGCCAGGGTTATCTTGTATGCAGTGTCAGACTGCAAGACATGAGCAAGAATCATGATGTGACTCCATTTCCATTATCAAGCAGATTAACTCAGAAATGTGGCTCAAATTCAGGATGCATCAAATTGAAATGTCTGAGGTTTCTAATGACTTTTCTCCCTAGCATCCAACAAATACCAACACCAAGACCCTCCTCTCACATTCCTACTGTCTCACCATTAACAATTATACAATCACTGTCTCACACTGACCAGCTTCCTTGTACTGCAAATTGTAGCAAAGAACTGCAGAATTGCCATCATCTTTTGGTTGTTTCCATCTTAGTAGAACCTCAGTGTCTGATATCTCAGCAGCCTCTGGTGAGTCTGGAGCTGAGGGGACACTTGCCAGAACCAATCTGCAACATATAAATTAAATAGGGTAAAGGAAATGTAAGTTTAGTTATTGTCTAAAAATTAAAATTACAGAAATGAGATCACAACCACTGTTGAAAATCTCAGAGGAAAAGATAGGATGTTAAATTGTAGAATGAAGAAGAGGAGTAGGTCGACACTAAAAGGAATTTAAAAACCACAATTAGCAGAACACTCATACATGTTGCTAAAGTGACCAACACAAATAAAGACTGGTCGATTCTGATATTAGTCACATTCCTACATAAGAGAAATTAAAATAATTTCATTTCAACAAAATTTTAGTTCAGTTATATTCATTGGTAACATACAAAAGAGTCAGGGTAAGGAAGTAGTGGATAGGGAAAGTACAAAAAGAGAAATGATAAATAGTATATTATTAATACCTGCTTCTTTGGTCCTAACAAGTGGAGTTGGAATGCCCTTCTCACTCCAGCCAATGCGATTCCTTGCAGCTAACCGAAACTGATGAGTGACATTTGAACGCAAGTTACGGACAACATAGAACTCATGGTCAATATTGTTAGCAACATCCAACCATTCCACATTATCTGTAACAGAGTTACAAGAAAGATACTCATGATAATGTTATCAAGAATGTAGTCCTAAAAACTAACGAGCCAGGGTTATCTTGTATGCAGTGTCAGACTGCAAGACATGAGCAAGAATCATGATGTGACTCCATTTCCATTATCAAGCAGATTAACTCAGAAATGTGGCTCAAATTCAGGATGCATCAAATTGAAATGTCTGAGGTTTCTAATGACTTTTCTCCCTAGCATCCAACAAATACCAACACCAAGACCCTCCTCTCACATTCCTACTGTCTCACCATTAACAATTATACAATCACTGTCTCACACTGACCAGCTTCCTTGTACTGCAAATTGTAGCAAAGAACTGCAGAATTGCCATCATCTTTTGGTTGTTTCCATCTTAGTAGAACCTCAGTGTCTGATATCTCAGCAGCCTCTGGTGAGTCTGGAGCTGAGGGGACACTTGCCAGAACCAATCTGCAACATATAAATTAAATAGGGTAAAGGAAATGTAAGTTTAGTTATTGTCTAAAAATTAAAATTACAGAAATGAGATCACAACCACTGTTGAAAATCTCAGAGGAAAAGATAGGATGTTAAATTGTAGAATGAAGAAGAGGAGTAGGTCGACACTAAAAGGAATTTAAAAACCACAATTAGCAGAACACTCATACATGTTGCTAAAGTGACCAACACAAATAAAGACTGGTCGCACACAGAGAGAGAGAGAGAGAGAGAGAGAGAGAGAGAGAGAGAGAGAGAGAGAGAGAGAGAGAGAGAGAGAGAGAGAGAGAGAGAGAGAGAGAGAGAGAGAGAGAGAGAGAGAGAGAGAGAGAGAGAGAGAGAGAGAGAGAGAGAGAGAGAGAGAGAGAGAGAGAGAGAGAGAGAGAGAGAGAGAGAGAGAGAGAGAGAGAGAGAGAGAGAGAGAGAGAGAGAGAGAGAGAGAGAGAGAGAGAGAGACAAATGGAGCCTGCTTCATGCTTAAGTAACAATGTTTTATAAACCAGCTCTCTGAACTTGACTGGCTTACAAGGGCACATGACAGCAGAAGCATCCAAAGCTTGTGCTGGTCACTTTAGCTTACTAACAGAGACAGATCAGAAAATAACTCACTTTTCCCATTCTGTAATAGATCAGTAGGTGTAACATGTATTGAATCTTTTTTCTGAAATCTACCAACATGTTTGCTCCTGTATATATATATATGTAGTATTAAATTCCACAATTCTGAGCTCATATCAAATCCCTTACTCATAGTAGGTTAATCATATTTCCAGATAACTAATACCATCGATATTTCATTCTGCCATAATATTTTACTTGTATGACAACCAGTTGAAAAGATTGCTGTTCACATCACATATTTTTTTATCCTGCAATTCTTTCTTCATCAGAGAATCATAGCTTCATTATCATGTCTGGGTTTTCTATATGCAATATATTTAGTGGAAAAATTATTAAACTATCTGTACTGAAGCATAATAATTTTAAAGACAATAGCCCAGGTCATCTTACCAAGCCACAGAATTCACATTATTAGCTTGCATCAGAAGATATGAAAGTCAGAAAAAAATCTTCAAAATTTAGAACATGAAAGAAAGTGGTCATCATGAACTTTAACAAATAGCACATCTCCTCACCTTGTACGAGCCTGGGTCTGGCCTACTTTGTTGCGAGCAACAACCTTGTATATACCAACATCCACATTTGAGGCAGGGTCAAACCTCAGGATAGAACGACCTTCAGCATCCTCTAGGATCTTGACTCGATGACTCTCTGTGATGACTAGGTCATTCCTGAGAGGAATAAAACAATAAAGCTCTGAGTTCTTTGACTACTAGGTTGTATTACTGAAATAGTGGAAGTAACTTACAACTGACATGATCTATCACTCTGTGAGAAGAACAGAGACTAAAGTGTTCAGGAACAAAGAACTGAGCTGAATATTTTGACCTACAAGAGATAGTAACAAGGGACAGGAGAATATAAGTGGAAGAGTCATAATTTGTATTATTCATCAAATGTTGTAAGGGTGGCTAAATATAAAATTAATTTGGCAAGACACAGATTGAACATGGGGTAAAAAGAAAAAGGATTCACCATTCTACTAAAACGAAATTCAAGGCAAGACACCACATGGGAGATCTAGGCATTGATGGGAAGATAATATTACATTTGTTCCTAACAGCAAATTAAAGTGTGAAGCTATGATCTGTTTGGACTCACTCAGTGGTGGATTCTTGTGGTAAGAGTGATAAACTTTTAGGTGTCATGTAAGAGGAAACTTATTTGATGAGTTATCTTACTTAAACCACTGGACAGTTGGCTTGGGATCTCCAACTGCATAGCAGACCAACTCTGCTGGTTGATCATCAACTATAGGCAGAATCTGTGGTTTCTCTCGGAAAAACGGAGGCTGAAAATATAAAAACATTTGAATGTTTATTATCTAATATTATCACAAATATTAAGTGTTAATTCTTAATTTTTTACAGCAGTATTATATATGACATACACATTTTGTGAATTTGTCCAACATGAAATGTAGGTAATACCAGAGAAAAATCTCAATACTCACACATAATAATGAAAAGAAATCTTGCTACATCAGCATGCAAGAGCTCGGAAATGTGAGATGCACTAAATTCATTGTATAACTGCATGGCAGGAGGCTAGCTGACCATTTGATTAAATGTGGAATCACAACACTTTGCATCAGTGCATTCAAACAAGCATTTAGACATTGATGATTTTAATTATATCTCTCATTTAGGCACAATGCTTGTAATGGCAGCATGAGCATCATCATCATCATCAAGGAGTTGGACCACTTGTTAACCTATCACCCTCAGTAGTAGTCAAATAGCCACTATGAAAGTTTCTTTGGTTCCTTATTGCCTTAGGACTGTCATAAATTTGGGAAATCTGTCTCTCTACAATCTGTGAATACAGCAAATTAATTTGCTTGTGTTTATAATTTTGGTTAACATTTATTTAATGGTTATTTTATTCCAAATATCTTGTTTCTTTTCATGGTCTTTTCACATGTAATTCTCAGTCTAACTCATAAATTTCATCAAAGCTGCCATGATTTGGGCTATATCCTGAACCTGACATGTCAGTAAAAAATTACATGAACTACCACAACATAATGCTTGGCTAGATCACAAATTTATAGAACATTTGTAAACATTCTCATACAATTAAATGACTTATAAACATGAAACTGGATGTATTTTTGCCACATTTTATTACATTTCCAACATCTCACCATGACAAATTTTATATCCCCAGCTACAAGTTTAGTTATTCCAACATTTAACTACAACAATCACAACATTAATTTATAATGTCTTTCATAGTTCTACCATTGCATAATCTCAAAGTTACATTTAATCATTCACGGTATTGGCAGCAGGAGGGATGTAAGTCAGTCACTAATAGATGACCTGCATACCAAGAATCAGTGAGATCAATAATTCATACCTGTCCTTCTCGTTTGTATTCTATCATAGCCTCAGCCTCAGCATGGCCATCCAGTCTTGTCCCCAATTCTCGTCTTAGCCTTCTAAGGGAATATACATCACTGGAACCATACTGGTTGATACGCTCCCTTCTTTCATCATCAATTTCCTCATCCATGACATCTGTAAAGCGACGTCTTTCACGAATGACTGGTGTCTGCAAGGAATTGTTCAACACATTAGTACACACACATATGCATTTATAAATATACAGAAATGTTCATTCATATGCAGACTGGACAAAACCTTAATGAAAATCTTTGTATTTACATGCACATACAAATATGAATGCCAGATTTCCATTCATAAGCAGACATCCATTCTTATGTCCATTCTTTGTACTCCACATATGCAATCATTAAGCCTCTTTTGACCTTTGAAAAACATCTACTAGTATACATTAGAATGACCAATCCAGGCACATTTCCCTTCATGCGAAATGATTCTGGTGCCTCTAATCTTTCATAAATTTCTTAATGAAGTCAAACTTTCTGTTTGTTTCACTTTTCTTTTTGAACACTCATTCATCTTTGTCTTAAGCCTTTCAGTGCGACACTAGTAATAATGCAGCAGAACTCACATTAATGTAAATTCAAGATTCACAGACTTGTGAATCTTATATTTATGCTATAATCATTTCCTGAAAGTATAGGACATCTATCGACAAAATTCAGAAGTTCATGCTTATATTAAAAACAAATTTTCCCATAAATGTTCCCAAGATGTTGCAAGATAAACCTTAGTTTTTCAAATTGTACCAAACTGTAGGTAGCATTGTAATTTATTTTTGTTTCTTCTTGATATACTTTCAACACTTCATTACCGATAATTCATCAAGATTTTGTTCATTAGCTGGAAAATGGTAGCAATGGCATCTTTAGACACAAACAGATTGTAGATGATAGCATTAGTCAATTTTACTTCCATATTTTGAATCTTAGAGTGAATGTAAGGATTGTTGTTGTTGTTCCTGCTACTGCTGCTGCTATTATTATTATTATTATCATCACCATTGTCATCATCTTTGCTACTGTTGTTGTTTTATCATCATCATTATTATTATTCATTACAAAAATTTCAATCTGCAAACTATGATGACTAAAAAAAGTGTGAAAGGTGTAACAGAAGAATGATTTATATTGTGAAAAAAGAAATCAATAGAAATACTTCACATAAAATAAATATGACAATGCTGGTAGTCCATAAATATCTGGTAAATATTGTACAATTTGGATGTCCACTTTAAACGCCACACAAAATGTGAGACTTCCTTTTTGCACTTATGGATTATGATTAAACTAAGATTTTTTAATGAAACTGAAGACAAAACGTACTTTTGGATCATATTATTCATTCTCAACTACTTCAGCAAAAACTGTATTAAATATCCACTTCATATGGAGAACAGATAGAACAAATTTGAGGCACTCCAAATGGCCACACAAAAGCCTGAGTTCAAGACAAAAAACTGAGTATTCTGTCAAGATTACAAATAATAAACATCATGGTCATGAGATTTCTATAACAAAATAATACTAAGGGTCACAGATTTTAATGATACGCACTCTCCAATCATAGTTTTCATGGACTCCGACAACTGGACCTCTATTGGCTGCCACTTTCATGTACTCCCGTAGTCTCACTGGAAAATCGACATCACGCAGCTGCAGTAGGTATGTGTCAGGCCCATACTGATAGCTGAAAGAAACAACAATTATCTCATGCAACTAAAAATATCTCTTCTTTCTTTCAAAAGTTGCATTATTATTCATTATAAAATCCAAACACTTTCTTTAAATCTAAAAATGTCAATGAAAGTACAGACAATTCTTTTAAAGCATTTATCATGAAATGCTGGACTATAATTCAAAGGATTCCATGTTTGATCTCACACCATCCACTAGGAACATTAAAAACCCAGCCATCCATTTTAAATATCAATTATGCATCAGTTTTAAAGAATGTATTACATATGCATAAAACATAATAATGATTAGGAAGTGTCCCTAACAATTACGTTTGGATCCTCTCTTGGACCTGGTTGCTGGAGAAGACTGCAAAGGAGTAAAAAGATTTAAATCCTAAAGAACCTTTTAGTTCTCATTATCTTCTCTGTTTTTTGTACTCATTGTGCTATAATCAGATTTTCAAATTACCATAAAAAGTTTTATAAATGAAGACCTGGGAGCAACAGTGAGCTAACTCACATTTTATTAAAATGAAATAAAGGAGAAAAGGTTAAACAGTTTCTTTAATTCTACGTTGTAACATTTTGAAAGATATAAATTTAAAGATAATATGTCAAAAGTGGCTTAGCCCACCTCTACAGTGAGATTGTTTTCAAAGTCTGTAGGTTAGCCCATTATTCCTCTAACGTCTTCAACTTTCTTTTCGCTTACTGGCTCTCTGATTTTACACTGCCAATTTCATAGTCAAGGGGTGGCCTAGGAGGCAGTTGAGCCTCATATGTTCGAGGCTCTTTCGGCTCCTTGGATGTGGGTTCAGGTGTTGGTTCTGGTGTGTATATGTGTCCTGGTGGGTACACCATTTTAGAAGGATGGGTGAAAGCACCACTTAGAGGTCGCCTTCTAAACCACGTTCGGCAAGATGCATTGTGATACCAATCCCTGAAAATGCACACAAGTACTAACATAGCTACTCAGGTAGTAGTACAGTGAATTCCAAGGCAATTCAAGATTGAAATTCCACCTTCACTTTAATCTATCCCATACAAAGTTCTTCTGATTTTCACATGCAAATAGTCCTTTATTTCTTGTAATCAGAAGTTATGTCATAGAATAAAACAGACAATAGCATAAGGGTAAGTGTAGATGTATCACTTAAAGTTCCACTGTTTACTTTCACAAAAATTACCTAAAGCAATTGTTGCATACAAAAGCACTACCTATTAAATTACAACATTTGACAATGGTCAATCCATAAAAAACTCATATGAAACACATAATTAAATCCAGTAAAGTAATGTAAGCTAAGACACATACTGTTGAAATGTGTATACTTTAGAAAGGATGACAGGAACAATTTCAGATGTACGTGTAACATCTTATGTGAATATAGGCTAGTACCACTGTAAAACATAAAAATTATTTAAAATATGTTTATCAGTACTATTCATATTGGCTGAAGATAACTGCTATATCATTCCTGCAACAAAAACTGTAATTGGAGATCTCCAACAAAGGTTCTCAAATAATAAAGATGAAGGTAAAGTTACAGTAAAATTTGTTATTATAAGCACAGTTTGTCAATCTATTATCTGCTGCAATGTCAAACAGTTCACATCCAAGTACTAACAAGATTAAAGCTTATATATAAGCAAAAATAGAACAGGATAGAAATTTTAACTACCGGTAGTGATTGCAGTAATTCTTGAGATGCTCTGTGCTGATCTTGTATTGGTCCACTGGAATCTTGTCTGCTACTTGCAGCCAGGGATGTTTCAGTGCAATTTTCACATCCATCCTGCAAATAAAATGGTGGACAATGGCTGGAACTCCTTTTATAGCTACAGATAACTTTTAATATTCAAATTCTGACCCAAGCGTCCCACACATATGTATCACCAGTTATGGTAGCAATATTTATAGTACAAGATAATCTACTGACCTGTCATCTGCACTGTATACCAGCAAACGCTGGATAAAGTCTTTTGCTTCAGCAGAGATGCCAGAGAACCACTCATCCTTAAACTCATACTTCCCCTCCTTGATGCGGGTCAATGTCTCCCGATCATTGGCTCCTCTAAAGGGAGAATGACCAGACAACAGAAGGTACGTGATAATGCCAACAGACCACAAGTCTGCCCCCAGGCCCACGCCATCCCCATTAACGATTTCTGGAGCCACAAACTCTGGCATACCTGTAATATAACAACAAATTCATCACGGAAAGTCACAAAACTAAAACAGTGTTTACTGAAATATATGCACATTGTTGTTTCAGTACTGTGTTGCCAAATAACATGAACAACAAACAGCACATAAATAATAATTCGTAAATAGATTCATAAATCTTAAATGTTGATGGCATGTCTGATGGAAACAGTACCTCATTGCTAAGGCCAAGACTGCAGAGGGAGTTGGTAGGGATAACGTACAGTCCATTTACCCACTAAAGCAGATATGGGCACATTACAGCTTACAGGCTAGATGCAATTTACTTTGGCCTTTCATTTATTTATCTTAAAATAAAATATATAAAGTAATGGAACTATTTTATTCATAATAAATTTGAATACTGTCCTTGTAAAATGAGTGTGAGAAAGCAATTAAATACAGACAGGAAGTGCAAAGCTTTCAAGAATTGGAAAGTACTGTATTTCAATACAAATGTACACTCTGTGGCTGTGTGCCAGATTTGTATCCCAATTCAAAATATTCTAATCTAATTACGTAACTTAAACAAGTCAAGACATTAAATATCCTCATACAAGAACAATAAATTTTTAATATTTTCTCAGCGATTGCACAAAACATGGGTGCAATTAGATCCTCAATCCAAAACTTTACATTAAAAAAAAATAAGGTTTTGTCTGGTAACATATTAATGCAAAACCTCCCACTACAATCTCCACAGTTTGATGCTTTAGCATCTTAATCTGTTATATGTAAACTAAAAGAAGTGTATTCAGACATTGTTATCTGTATTTTGTGTACAAGTCAACAAAACACTTTTAACCTTTCAAGTATATCTATATCTCAAATTTAAAATGTGTATATATATATATATATATATTTCTATGCAGCAGTTTAAGGTTAATTATAACCTGAGATATATAATCTGATTTTATTTTCTCAAAGTGGGATAATCTGTAGAAATATTTTACCATAGTCTAATGCAGCAAGTTTGCCAAATGCTATCCTTCTTGCTAACCCAAAGTCACATATCTTCAGGTCATCACCACCAGGATGGGAAATGAGCAGGTCTCCAATCTGCAAATATATATTAAATTATATTTAATAATTTCATTTTTATAATACCATGGGCCCTTAAACCTTGTGAATAATCTAGATGAAATATCCACTTACATTTTCTACTTCACCCATAACCTTTATCAGCAATGCATTGCATCTTGAGCATGGTTCACACTACTGCTAAACTGTTAATCTGAGTTAAGTCCAGCAGGCAGCCCAAAGTACGTGGGTTTAAATTCCCTATTACCACACAAGAATGATTAAAATGCATGAAGCTTTATCTCAGTGGCCAATGTTCCATAAGGGTGTGTATACAGGCAATGGAGAAACTATACATTTCACATTACCCTCTCCTTTAACAGAAACACGCATCATGTAAAACTGACATGTGATTATGAGATTAAGGAGAGAGAAAGGGCCTCTTAAATAACCACAGAGAACTGGAACACTGGATTCTTTCTTATATTAAAACACAGAAATTTCAGTGACGTGGACAAATACCTGTCCCTTACTAAGACAGAAGTAACATTTCCCTTTCACAGATAATATGAGGACCTTACAATTTCTTCTACTTCCTCCAAAAATGAATTTTAGTTAATCATTGCAGTGCTTAATATGTCTTTGTTTAAGTTATTACTGTACACATTCATTCAAACAACCCTGACATGAAAACCAAACACAGGCCATTGTGGAATAATCTAAATATCATTACTTACTGTCAGACCAAGGTGTGCAATATTTTGGATGTGCATGTGCTCCAGTCCCCACAGCACCTGACGAATATAACCAGCAATATCTGTCTCACTTATGTACATCTGTTTTGTCAAGTTATCCAGCAGTTCACCTCCACCTGCCCTGTTGTTGAAAGTCATGGTTAAGGAAAACAACTGTAATCCAAGGTATCTGAGGTCATTGTTGCAACAATGTGATTTGAGGCCACTATTGTAAGAATGATAAAAGATGTGACATACATATGGACAGGCCCATAAGATACTGTTCACTTGTGCTAAAGTGTAAAGACCACCTGAAAATGTAAACCGATTGAAATCATTATGCATTTAGCAACAAAAAACCTCCAATTATTGAATTATCTGTATGTAAGTAACACTTTTGTCAAATCTATTACAAAGTCAGCCAGTGAAGGAGCAATGCACTAGTTATTTGTGAACTCTTCAGTATGTACACGAGCCCATGTTTCACATTTTCACCATATTCTATAATCACCACTATAGACTATGCTGAAGAATGCTATCTCATTAAAAAGTTACTGTAAGTATAGCTTTTAGTATTGAGCTACAGGTAGATAAGAGTATTTGACAAAGAAAATTGTAATTTCTCAAAATTAAAGTTTCCTTATAACTTCAAATTGAGGTACATAGTACAACTATATAACTGAGAAATCTTAAATCACCAAAGGATACAGTTCTGTAATAAGGGTGAGTGTGCGATTGGTCTCATATGCATCCTGCAGGCGTATGATCTTGGGGTGATTCAGCAAATTCAGGTATTCCAATTCATTGTTCATGAATGGGCGCAGATCAGATTTTCCATGCATGATCTTTGCAGCATAGTTACGACCTGAAATGTACAACACAACAAACAAAAAATATGCAAATATGAATAACTTTTTGCTAATATAATCAGATTAATTAGTTTATGCTGTGTGTACATATGTCCAATAACAAATTTTAAACCTACTAATTTCCATGGACATTGGTACAAACATCTTCACACTGAAAGTTGCACCACCATTTTACTTGGTAATTCCCTGTCATGAACAATGCCAATATGAGGAGGCCACAAGCACTTCTGTCATGGAAATGAAACCTGTGTAATTTAATGAAGGGTCTTGAAATGTTTAGTAATGACATATTTTTTAAGCTAATTAACATATTTGTTGATTGTTGGAATTCAATATAGTAGCATTTCCACAGACAAAATTGTCACTAAGCCATCAGGGAGCAAGAAAGTTGTAATTCCTACAGTTATATCATAAAAAAGAACATATCAGATTTTTATATATGTCTTATCTAAGCTAGCCCAAAACTTATTAGAAATTTCATGGAAACCATTGTTTTAAAAAAAAATATTTTTTATCTGCTGATACTGTTCATCTTGCATTCACATTACATTTAGGATATCCTGCAGATTTATTCCACAGAAATTACACATACAGATAGTATGTATAAAAATGTTCCATTATCTAATGTACCACATTTGAGAATTGAGAAAATTATAATACAATAAAATTAGAAAAGACTGCCCTTAATAAACTGGCCAATATAGTGCTAGTAATGGTGGTAACACTTGACAAATCCAAATCTTAAATTGGGGACAATTTCAGAAGATTCAGATATTACTAGTCTAAGATTCTGTGCAAGGCAAACTATGTCTAATTCTGAAAATTATTACAGTGACAGTGACAGTGGCCGTAACTGTCAAAACTGTTTTACCTGTCAGCCTCTCCACAGCATGATACGTCACCCCCTGGGTACCTCTGCCCAGCTCATCACCGATGTCATAGCATTCCTCAAATGGCTTGGTCTTAGGCTTGATGTTGCGCCCCCTGCTGTACGTCAGGTAACCATATTCTTGTTCACTCTCCTCTATATGCACCATCACGCTGGCAGACACTGTTCCTGCTATGTTGCGGGCACTCAGGCTGTACAGACCCTCGTCCTTGGTTATAGCATCATTAATCACCAAGATGCATGTGTCTGGCTCTATAAACTGGATCTGTTTTTAAGAAAGACATATGTTGCTAAGCTTAAAACATGCTACAATGCAATAAAGACATACCTATTTATAAATTTTACTGCACTGATATATAGTATACATGAGAAAAACAAGGTAAACTAAATTTTGGTTAGCGAAACTCAAGGACAAAGAACATTTGAAAGACCAGGCACAGATGGGAGATACAAAAAATGGTCTACAGAAATAGGCCTTTAAGATGTTAAAAGGATTTAACTGGCTCATATAAGTTCCAATGGTACATTCTGGTTAACACAATAGTATAAACCCATAAAATAAAGAAAATTTGTAAGTTATAAAATGAGTACGTCCTAGGAGTATTAGTACATGCGAAGAAATATAATTAATGTTGATGAAAACACAGTTTACTACCACATTAATTAAAGAACTCAAATTAAGGGTGTATCAGAACAGAGTGCTTAGAAGAATATTTGGATGTAAGAGGCCTAGGCTCCACATTGCAATGGAGATAACTTTAATGATGAGATGTAAGATGTAGCTGTAGTCTTATAAATTTTGAACTTGGAAAAGCGTCACACATATCTCTGTCTCTAATAACCTTGATTCGGCTAGAAGATGCAATAGGCTGCCAGTCCTTGTACCATTTGATCTCTGGATATGGCACACCAATCACTCTGGCATCAATACGTCCAGACCGTCTTGTCAATATAATAGTCTCTTCTGGCCTCTTAATGAATTCCGGATATTCAGCAATTTCCAACTTAGCTCTCTGCCGAGCTTCACCATGCTCATTAGTTGCCACTGCCTCATATTCTCCTACATCACGATCCAGCATCCTTAAACAGATAGAACCTACACCATAATTCAGTGAAAATAATATCAGATTATTGAAGAACTCATTTTTAATTCAAAATTTTTTAAAATCAAGATAATATAAGAATATATTTTGACCTGATGCTAATTCACCAGTGATATCTCTACAGCAAATTTAAGTTCAGTTTAATGCACTGAAATAAAGCACTAGCACAGACAGAAATTAAGCTTGTTTAACCTCTAAATTTCTAAAGTTTTGATAATGTGAGCTATAAAAAATCATACAACAAATTTCTGTGGGCATAAATACCCCTGCTTTATGAATCCATGATACAATATAGTCTGATTGTTTTATACATAAAATTTTGTAAGGTAATGAAAACTGTAACTGTCACAAACATACATAAGACTACCATGACATAAAAACCAACATACGTTCAAATTAAGAATAATTTAATAGTAACAAAACAACAACAAAATATTAACTGCATGCTGTGATAAAAATGCAACTATTTATTTACTGCAGAAATTATAAAACAACTTTTATTTACATCTGTAGTTTCTTTGTGTCCTATGATCTACTAACAAATGCAGATCTTTCTTCATCACTTTTCAGTTTCAAGTATCAGCATCTGCTACTGGAGAAACTTCAATATTGTGGAACTTTTTGGCAAGGATAACCATTAAAGATGGCTGTGGTGTATACATAAACCATTCTCAATTCATCAATCAAGCATTTCAAATTTTAAAATTAATACACCCAAATGATAGTTGCTTTATTACCATATATCCTAACTGCATAGCATAATTAACACAACATGGAAGATATAAAGATCTAGGTTAGAAAATATATTTTCTCACACAAAATGTCCAGTACATAAGTTTCAAACCTGTTAATGAAGAGAGTGGCTTGACCGTTTCTTGTGTAGCTTGTGTCATATCGTCCTCCAGTTTCAATAGGTTCACCATTGAAGTAGTAAGTCATCTTTGGTTTGGGGTAGCCATATACAAACCAGAAGAGGTTGCAATTGTGATTCTTCACGCCATACTGTGTGTCATGCTCTTGTCTGAGGAACCTGCCAACACCACATCAACTGTGCACTCCATTCCATCATGTCTCATTCAACAACACATTAACTCAGCAGCAAATACAGCATCATAAAGTAACTAAATACCCAATCACTACCATTTATTAGTTTCTAAAACAAATGTAATAATAGATGATTACAACTTTCAGTTTTAATTTTGTGTATCAACAAGACTGGAAAGGTACTCTCTCTGGAATGCATGAACAATCCAAAGGTGTTTTTCATGCCACATCACATACATCGTTGTTCTGTTGATGTGATCCAAAGCCATTGCTGCATATTCTTTGGCATCATTCATCCAGATATGATAGTATCACATGGAGCTCTGTGCAACAATGTGGTACTACAGTAATGAATTGTGTGGAAATACTTCAAATCACTTTTTTTTTTAAATGTGATGTAACCCATTATATCACCTTGCATCCAATATGTTTGCTAGAAAGATTATTTAAACCACATCATTTGTTTTCTCACTTCTCTGTGTGTTATGTAACTAACATTAATTCTAAATCCATGTTGTCTACATTTATTTCTCTCTCATATTTTATTTCTGTTACAGGCAACATTCTCTTTAACAAAAGCAGTTTTAAGTTTAAAATTTATTGTGAGGATCTAAGTATATTATGTCTGAGATTTAAATTGATTCACTGCCATACTATGAATATGCTACCATGCTAAATGAATGAAATGAAAGTTTTGTGGGAACAAACAATAAGAGATCACATGGCTAGTGTGTATCATGTGGAACTACCAACATTCAATGCACAAACTACAGAGAGGACTAATGCGGTTATGCCTCACTTAATTTCTTACTCTGTTTTTAGTGATAAGTACTCCATTCTAAATTTATGTATTACTGAGCTCTTTTAAAACTACATTAAATAAATCAGTAAAATAGATAGTGAACACATTCAGACCCAGATTAAAAATCATACAGCTCAGTCACATTTGGCCATCAGGCAGGTTTTCACAGTTACAGTGAAATACTGAAATTTCACTGAGATTCTTTCTGGAATGATGATGACTAAACTGTATCCTACTGATGCCATGTTATGATAAACTAAAAGAACAAATAACAAAACCTGCATAGCATCATAAATTTCTTTCTGTGGGCCTACCTTACTACCTTACTTACTTACTTACTTACCTTGGAGCCTGTGCATATGCGTCATGTGGTGGCTTTTCAATGTCAAAGTCTTTAGGAAAGTATGGAGATGTCTCTGGGCGAAAGTCAATACCCGGCTGTAGATATGGGAAGAACTTAGGTGGATCAGGCTCCAACTTTTCTCTACAAAAGTGTACTCACATTAACAGCAATTTCATAAATTGAATATCAGTTAATCAAATATCAGGCCTTAAGTCATTATAAATGTATGGACATGAAAGTTTCCTCTCCTTAACCTTTTGATAATATGCTTAAAAAAATTTTAAACAGAAGAGAATAGAAGGTTACTTTATATGACCTACAAGAATTACATTTAATCAAAACCCTTAAATAAATACAAAATATGTTTAGTTGATCTGGGCTTGTATTTTCATTGCCACATACGTTCACAATGCAAGACATTTTATCAAAGAAACTGCCAAATATAACTCACCTGAAAGTGACTGCAAAAGGTGAAGGATCGCTGACCCCATATTTGTTCTCCACCCGTACACGGAATTTATAATCACGGAATGGTTCCAAATTATGGATATCACAGGCACAGCTTCGAATTCCTGTCAATACAAACATAGTTTTTACCGTCTGAAGCTTGGTCCTATTACATTTCATACAGGAACATTGGAAGAATCGTGAACTGACGTTCCTAAGTTATATTTCATATACAAATTAGCAATAATTTCAGCAATTAAACAGCTCTTGCATTTTCAATTCTTTAATTCCACATCAATCTGAATGCAGTTTATTTAGAGACAAATTAAAATATTAAACAATTTACCCTAAGAAGTCAGGTCACCATTACCTTTTTTCATTTATGGTTCTGAAAACAATCTGCTTACAAACAAAATGAGTATTCACACATTTTTCAAATCAGATTAAATTGAAATTTCCAGATATCAGGATACCAGAAACATGAAATGTTCACTAGTTTCATATGACTGCATTAATACATATAATTTTCTTCTATGGTACATTAGTAAACTGCAGACAATAGAACTGGAACCTCATGGCAAGGCAACTAGTTGTAATTGCTGTATCAAGTGTTCATATGAAAGCAAAATCTGGTTAACTATGCAATTCATTACTGAAATAAAAGTAAATATATGACATATGACTTGACATTCTGTAGTTTTGTGTGCTTCAGCCCAGGATTAATATTTACAAATATGAGTACTTTAGTATTAACTTTTAAATACACTCACTGAAAAATCATTAACCCAAAAGCATATTAGTAACAGTAAAAATGTCAGTACATTTTGATACAGGCTTCAAGCAGTGACCAGTTGGTAAAAATGTGTTATTTGTGTTATTGCTTGTTTGGAACAACTCCCTTTTATATTCACTGCTGCCATTTCCTGTTGGTTAACCATCAACACCTTGTATTTATGTACAACGTTAGTTCTTTAGTGGCAGAAGCACAGCAATGGCTTAATGTTAGACATAATATATTGCAGTGAGCAATCAGGCACTACCTTAATCCAAAACAAAATAAAGAAGTTAATATAATATATGATAACAAAAATACAAAACACAACAGGATACCTTACATGCACAGAGGTAGGAAAATAAATTATTTCCTCCACTTGTCATTATGTCTTGTACAAACTAGGTTTGTTTTCTTACTTTCTGCATCTAACAAAACATCTCAATTGTCTGTTTCATTTAATTTATATAATAAGGAGTGGAGTATTAGAGTGTGACTACATTTTACAGTGTTGTTCTATTTCCATGCCAATAAAAGCATCATTAAATACAACACAAAATGTGATCACATCTTACATTTTGTTGAAATATGTCTATAAATCTTACTCAACTTAAAACATAGCTATACCGTGTACACATGTAAAGAGACAAGAAATTACAATGGATCACGTACATTTTCTTAATTCATATTCTGTAATTTTGCATTCCTCATTAGTACAGATGTTTAGATGGAAATCTATTAAGCCAGCAAATGGAAAACACGTATATAAAACTGCACTGAAACATAAGTATTTTTCATTCTACTTAATTGCCATGTGGGACAACTCTCCCCCCCCCCAATCAGATGAAAATATCCCATGTTAAAAATATACAGGTTAAATAAGTGCAAATTTTAAAAAATGTTTGACATAAAAGTAGTAGATCTTTGTGGGAGTTATCATTTATATACTAACTTCAAGTGCAGTAAACCATTTTAAGAAAAATTAAAAATTGTATGTCAGTTTTATGAAAGACAAAATCCTCCAAATCAGTTTAATTATAGATCATGTACACCGAATTTCAACAAAATTCACTAAAAATTCACCCTGAAGTTGGAAGCAACATCTTCATAATCACTGATGACCACTTACAAAACCACAAAATCCAGAAAACCACAATCAATGTATTCATTGTTATAAGAACTTCAAATCTCAAATATCATCAGTACAGTTTATGTGTGATAGAAAGTTTCTTTGTTTAAAATTAAATGTGATGGTTTAATTCGCATGATCATGCAAGAGGTAAACATTCATGTACAGATTATTAGTGGGGTTGTTTGCATATTAGAATATAAATCTAATTCAGAAAATTATTTCTGCAAATCAGCCCATGTATTTACACATAGCATCTGCAGTGTCCATAAGTTAGCATCTGAATGTAAGCCAAAAGGGTTCATATTATCAGCCAACCACAACGCAGTACTCACCTAGCTGTAAACTATTCTGCTTTGATGGATAATAGTAATCCTGCAATGCTCTGCAAGATTATATCAAAACTACAATTGCTTTACCTTTCACTGACTAATCAATGACAAACCCAAAGCTATCTTGAATAAATATTGTTGTCTTACATCACAATAACCATAAAAAAACAAGAATTGTCCAAACGAGGGCCAAAAAAAAGAGTAAAAATAATTTTCATTTGTAGTTACAAAGATTGAACATAACTAGTGACCATTATCAACATTTCATAGAGATAGCTTCTTGGATAAACATAGTTACTGCCTCTGTATTAGTTAAGCAATAAATGACAATATCCATTACTGCAGTCTGATATTAATTTATTCATACATCATAGCCCCAATTACAGGTTAAAAAAGCTCTCAGTACAATGTGTGAAACACAGAGTTAAACAACTAGCATAAAAGAAAGAAATAGAAAATTAACTGAAAGTTAAGAATAGCTAATTATAGTTTTATGCTTACATGTAGAATTAAATTAATGTTTCTGAGTCAAATGAGCTCATGCAAACATAGTGATACAATTAAATCACATCCAGTTCACTTAACAACATTATACTGAATTAACTTATTAACAATTTCATAAAATCACATTAGGGTTACAGCAGATGCACATCACTTCTTTACTGTCCAAGTAATCACTGTCAAGATCAAATAAACCTCCAAGAAAGATAAAACAATATAAAGCACTGAAGTTACTGACAAACAAACATCTCAGAAGTAAAGATACTTCAGTCATAAAGATACATATATTTTTATAGCTACTTTTCTTCTACTTCATTGCTTGATGACTTGACAAGCAGTGAATTTTTATTGCAGTTACCCAACTGGCCAAAACAATGGCATGCATTATTCCACCATTAATGAGGAAGATCTCTAGAGTAGTGTCAGTTGCAATTATTCAGTACAAATTCACTCTCAGTACTGATATTAAAATTATAACTGCATTAAGAATTATTTAAGCAGTTATATTGCTTTAGCCCAGTGGATATAGAATCCATGATAAGTTAATGTCAATTTCAGTATTGCTATGAAAATGTTCATTTTGTATATCTGTGTTCTACTTTATAAGAGCTTGTAGATGTCTCAGTACCAAGCAGACCATTACAAAGGATGAAGACTATGACATTATCGTGGATGAGTGAATTCTACATGGGATATATGGAACAGCAAATAACATGAGCTATGGTATCAAAATATTGACAATAATGTCTGGTAAAATGTTTTTGTTACCAAAGTGAAACTGTATGAGTACTTTAATTTTATAAATAGAAGACAGATTTCACGTTATATTAACAGCAGCATTCAGATGCTAGCTCTCAAGTCTTGTTACCAGAATGAATCATGCAGGACACTAATTGCAGATCAAGTCCTTCAAGGTAGAAGTTAAACACAAGCCCAGAAAAAGAAATACTGCAAGGAATACACTAGACATTAAAAGTGTCTAGGATAAATGTCGAATACTAGCCCCTAAAAACAAAAAGAACAAAAGGAAAGCAAAAATGGAAAAAGGAACAGACTCATGGGTGAAAAACTGGTAATCAAACCATGACAACTAAGGCACATAAGAAACATGCACGAAAAATAGCTGCAATTTAAATGTTTTTCTATATAAAACAATGTTCACAACATTTTAAATTTGAGAGATGATGAATCTACCATAGGACTGTGAAATGAATTACTGAAAAAGTTATTAAGCGTAATGGTTACATCTAAAACTATGTGTACAATTCATACACCTCATACAGAATGCCTTCAATATTGTACACAGTCCCATATTGTTAAAAATAATGCTGTATTAAATGAGAAGATCGATGTACATATAAAAAGAAACTAACATTTCAGAAGAAGAATAGAAATATTTTGGGTACTGCCACAGTTAATCTGAACAGACAACAGCAAACACTGATGTAATAGTTTAATAAATTCTGATTAGATAATTTTACTCCATAATTCATGTTACAGCTGCTTCCATTTCTATTTTAATTTTTAAAGAATATTATTCATTTAAAAAACCTCAATTTTACAGCGACACATTAAAATTCTCAGACTATGTTAACAACATTGGCTGCAGATTGTAGAAAATGACATGAGTGAGGGTGGACAGCCAATTTCACAGCATGATACTACAAATATCATGCCCCTGAGCACAAGGTTGTAGGCATAATATTTTGGACATGTTTAAATTATTTAATTGCATGAAACAGGTAGAACAGAACTGAGTACTGAACCCATGTTTTGAACAGTTTCAAACATAGAGTACTTCATGAGCCTCAAATGTGTAATTATACTTTTAAATGGGGGAATCCTCATTAGATTCTGTTTTTCTTTATTTGATGAAAATTCTGGATTTTTTACTTACAAATGGAAATTATAAATTCTCAACATGAACAAAATTTGGGATAAGATTATCAGTGTGATGTTTCAACCAAGTGGTTTTTGTGATGGAGGACTGAGGGTGTCATTCCATACAGAATTTAAAAAGAACACAATGTCAATATTTCAAAAGTAAATGTAAAAATATCATAAGTTTATATATTTACAGTGCACTCCTGACTAATAACTACATGATGGTCAGGGTATAACAAAGAATAATAAGTGGTAATATAAGAAAATTCAATTTCTGAAACCACCGGATCAATACAAATGACTGTAAAAGTCTAGAATTTTTGGTCATCATCAATTTTAAGATTTCCACTGTCAATCATAGTCACATTTCAGTCTTCCAACATTGTCTCTGCTTAAGCTGCATGAATGTTGAAACCAATTCTCTAAGCATTATAAACTCTCATCTCATGTCTGAAAATGGGTTTATATGTACAACATTTACAAGGGTTGGTGGAGAAATGTCAGTAACACTGATGCATTGCCCTTCCTTCTTGCTGTGCATAAGCCAGAGAGGATCAAAGTGCCTCTCCTTCAAGAGAGAACTATAAATCTGTTCTCACTCAATCAATTCCTACAACCTCTAAGGTTGTTAAGTTTATCTAGTCTTTAATCCTAATTTTTGTGGCTGCTCTTTTATGTCTATAGGGGTCTAATAATGTAGAGGAATATATTTTACTATAAGTTTTACCTGTACGGGCAGTAAACCAGTCTCCGTCAGGCTGCTCTGACATCTCCACTCTATATGTTACAGGTACTCTTGGTCCAATTGGAATTGAAGGCTTCCATGACAAAGTAAGACGACGGTCAGTCATGCGGCTTATAATTGGACGATCTGCTAGAGGCAGTGGAGCTCCTGTCTTGCGGAACTTATCGAAGTCAGTGTATTGGTCTCCAATAGGTCGCTTTGGCTTACTTTCAAGAGCTAAAATACATTGAATTTTATTATTTTTCTTATTTAAAAGAAAAGGCATTCTTACAGTATTCCTCTTTATGTCTCTATTTGTGTGTGTGTGTGTGTGTGTGAGTGTATACACACTTGTGCATGTGTGAGTCCATCCTCCATAACTTTGTTGAATGAGTGGACATTCACTTAGTATGAAGGTAATATTACTGGAGGCCACAGAAAGTTTGAGTATTCAAGCACAAGTATAAAACAGGTATTATTTCAGGTTCCATGCTTTTGGGTCAGAATTTTACTACAAAACTGTGCCAGCCTTTATACTCAGGATTTTAATATAAAATCACTTTTACATTGGATTCAAATTAAAATTTACCACTACAGAATTTCATCCCCTAAACTTCTGATTTCCACATACACTGATTTTTTTCTGAAATAACTGCTCTAAATTGGTCAACTGTAGCAATGTTTGTAACTTATTATTTTTAGCAATCTTTACTAAAAGCTGACAGTTTTATACTACCTTATATCTATTTGTTTTCATTAATAAACGAAAAAACCCTGCAGTTTTCATTAAACATTGACAGTTATGGAAAAAGAGTTAACCAAAATTATTTCTTAATTTATCAGTATTACAATCTCTGCATAGCAGCAAAAAGCCAGCGTGAACCCACTAATGAATCCTATTCACAATACATATTTAGCCTACTTACATAATTTTTTTCAAAGGCTTATGGCATTGCAATGCCTGTGTGTGTCTGACCTCCATAACAACTTTCAAATGAATGGACCAGTTTAAAATTAAACTGATTTGGATCCAGTGCTACCACACCTTCATACCAATAATGAAACTAACATGGCAGCCATTCAGACATCTGAGTCGGGAGCAATGTTTAATGTAGCACATTAAAAATTTGTACAATTATAGATCTTTAAAAGATATATACTTTTCTTATTGTAACTATTTCTGTTTGTGTATGTATGTGAACACAAAAGTAATATGTTGATACACAAAATAATATGAAGTTTTTCAGTTTGATAGCAAGTACTACTGAACTGCTGGAGCTATAAAGGTAAACTCTGTTATGGAGATAAATCACAAGTTTGTCTACAAATTTTATATGAATTATTTGTTATATGAAACAGATACAAACAGTAGGAAACTTTTATGGGACACATGATACTTTAAGATATTCAGAATATGTACTAATAGAAATAATGCAAATTAATAGAACATAAAATAGTATAATTATAAATTCATGATTTCACCTAGCCTCTTTATACAGATGCAAACATTTATGACAAAACAGATGCCCTAAGTTCTTCCAAAAGCAAATTATTTTTCTATTTATTATCACTATCTCACCCTCATTCTAATTGTTTTGAAATACTTACAGTCATAATTCAGGTCTGCCTCACAGGTTGCCTCACCATGGGGGTTGAATATTCGCAACTTATATTTGCCCACATCTGATGGAACCACACCTTCAATAGACAGTCTAAGAAGACCTGATCCTTCATGTTCCACGTGGATACGATTACTCGGATAAATCTTCTCTCCATCATGGAACCATTCATATTCCGGTTCAGGGAAACCAGACACACAGGCTGTGAACTTAGCCGTCATGCCTTGATATACCTCACAATCACCAATCTTCTTCAGAAATTCTGGAGGTTCTACTTTCTGCTTCTTCTCACTACAAAACAATACTTCCCCTCAGATGCAATAATTTGTAAACCGAGTTAAATCTTGAGTCAGGGGAACTGAGAGACATCAATTTCTGTCATCATGCCAGACAGAAGAACTACTCTGCATAATGCAACATCCAACTGTCCTTTCCTTACCTCTTTTGCTCTCTCTCACATAAAGTTAGAACATAAAAATGACTCCTCAAGGCTCCAACACAAAAATGCATAAACTACTAGCAAAGTGTTCTACAAATAACTGATAAATTCTTATTTCTTCCTTTCAACTAAGTACCTAATTTTCTACATGCATCATTAATAAACTTCATAAACAATTTAAAAAATGACAAGGCACTTAAACATCTTAACATTAAATTCAAGTTCTAAAACTGATGGAATGTGACATCACACATATTCTAATAGTTATAATTCTGGTGCTGCCTGGCAGTAAGTCCTGCAAATGCCAAATAAATTACTGCATGCATTAAACTGAGAGGACACTAGGTAGACAGAAGGATTCTATATTAGAAACAATCTAGTCTCTGCATAAGTCACCCAATAACTTTTTAAAATATGTTCCTGATATAGTCTCCAGAGTACCTGAAGTTTATCTTCCTTCTAGCATACTGGAAAGAAAAGTGAGATTTTGCTATTTCCCACCATTCTCATTATGTAACAAGAATGATTTTCAACTTTTGTGCCAATGTCACTCTACATTATCATTACAAAGAGTAATTCTTGTACTCACATTTTATCCACTACTTCAAGGATAGCCTCACATGAGGCTTCTCCATCACAGTTGAAGGCCCTGCACTTGTAGCGCCCAGAGTCTGATGGCTTGCAGTCCCTCACATACAAGCAGACAGCATCGCCATCCCGCTTCACCCGATACTTATCAGTGTCTGGACCAGTACCAGGAGTGATTAGTTGATCATTGAAGTACCATGAGACATCTGGTTGTGGAATACCAATCACACGAGCTGGGAATTTTGCATCAAATGTTGGAAGCTGAACAAGGAAAAAGAGGTGTTATATTTGTAAGACTATTCCAGTTTTTATGTGTTATTAAAGAGTATTAAATTTAAAACAAACACATTTGAAATATAAAGACTGCAAAATGAAAAGTTCAGATTTTGCACATCATACAGCACAATACCACAATGCAAGAATAGAGCACTGATTGCTGACAAGACTTCAGTGACTACCTCAGTGATCAAAGAATCAAAGGTGGAATTTAAGGAGCCAATCTGAATTATTATTAATAAATGCAAAAATCTTTAAATGCAACCTTTCAGTACTAACTGACCCTAATAAATCATAAAGATTCTGATAATATCCCAAATTTCTCACTTAGGTGAATATACTTTTCATTCTAAGGGCTTTGAAGAGCTTGCAATATGTGTGATAATAAATAATATCTTATGTGAAATTTCCTTAATTCTAATAGAACTGCTCATTTATCAAAAATGAACTCCTTGTTTGAAGCCCTGCTGTATACTAGTGGCAATTTGCTGTGCCATCACACTTCTCCATATGAAAACAGCAGACTATGCATACCTGCTGCAAGTCAGTGAACTTCTGGGTGAAGTTAGGAGCCTGGTACACTTTTCTCACAGATGCTTTAGCTGCTGACTCATCTTCACCCAGGGGATTTTTCAACTGGCAGAGGTAGTTGCCTGCATCACTCAGCTTTGCAGGCTTTACCTCAAGACCAACCTAATGCACATGTGTATTTAGCATTAAATCCATGATGCACTATCTTCCGAAGAGTTGTTATGAAATTCTGGTAATGTAATTTACTCTTTCTAAGGTTACATTATTTTCTTTAGACCTCTGTCCTCAAAACACCCTCAATCCCTGGTACTCCTTTGGGGGTAAGGATCAATATTCACACCTATAAAAATTGTAGTAAAATGACAAGTTTTATAAGGTTCAATATTTGGATTCTTAGGCAGATAAAAGATTCATAACTGAATGCAATTTGCTCTGAAGTTTTTAACTGAGTAAAATTTTGACTTGTTTTCTTAGTTACCAAGTATTTGAATTTCACCCCATTTTCAAAGGATGTACTAGCAGTACTTATATTATGATTTTGTTCTGCACTTCATGTGAACCCTTTGTTTGTATTTTTGTGACATTTATATGACTTGTATTTGTATAACATGTATTGTATTATTATGACTTATTCTACATCCTATTGTCATCTGACTAGCTTATGGATCCATGGAATGTAATAAAGATGTATGTATGTATGTATGTACACAACATGGACATAAAAGATTTGATGAAAAATGTCTGAACTGGGCACTACCAGA